GCGTACCTGGAGAGGACACAGACTATTTGAGGGAGAGATTCATTACATTAATATACACAGGTAGTTATTGATGGCCCCGCAATGATTCAGAAAGCTGAGTATTGTTTGCATTTTTGGGCCAACTACTGAAGACTGATTTGATCAAACTGAAATATGTATGACAAACCTTTAGTATTGATCACTTGTCAACCTTAAAAATAACATCTCTGTGTGCAGGTGTGTATTTGTGTGTCCTGAGAAAATGAGGTCCGATGTACATGCCTGAGCTGGGAGGCACTTTGTCCTGTCTAATTGATGTCATGAGAACTAAGCTCATGCAGCAGGTGACAGAAAGGCCTGCAGGCACACACAGATTAAGGGAGACATTAGCATAGCAGCAACTGACTGAAACAGTCGTATGCTAACATACTTTTCCATACAGTGGCTGACACCTGGATGGATTCATTTCCGGTCCACTGAATTCAAAAGCTTTGGCCATGTGGAAAACTACTGGCTGTTGCTAGAGAACTGACCGGCTCTGTGACAGTGTTTGTTGTTTGTGGGCGAGGAGGAGTTGGGTTGAAAGGGAACGGAGGTGCAGCTGCTGCGAAAGGGCTCTTTAAAAGTCAGTGAAGTACCGCCGGGAAAACGAATAATGCTTTTCATCTTGCCTCCTTTTCTCATTTGGCACACATTTTGTCACTGCTTTTTTTCCTCTCCATCTGTCCTCTTCCTCCTCTTTTCACTCATTTTGCTCACTCCCTCTTTCTTCCTCTCTGTGGAAAATTTAATGGTTTCCTGGGCTCAGAGTGAGACATTCTTTCACTGTGAACAATAATAACAAGAGTAAGAGCCACTTCATGTAACTCTCTCACTCCCTCACCAACTGGGTACAACTGGATGTTCTGTCTGTGTGTGCGCGCATGTATGCCGCACTTGAAAAGTGCTTGATCTGTTAAGACCAGGTACAGCAGACTGGTGAAGCCAAGTGGCTGACCGGCTCGTTTGTTATCATCAAAGTCTGCTTATTTAGTACTTATAAAACAACCGACATGGACAAGTGCTCACACACCTCTGCAAAGAAATGGAAAATCACTCCAACGTGGCACGGATCTTTTACTCCTTGTTCTGTCCAAAATAAAAAGTGGAAATGTATCAAATGAAAGCTAATGAAACTCTGAGTACATGGTGTGAGCTTCTGAAGCTGGACGGTGAAGTTACTGGAGGACAAGTAAATAAAATATGGTGAGAAAAATTTGTATACTCTCAAGGCTGCAGTACTCTGACGGACACTTTAAGTGTATGTTCACATTTGACCACAATCCATCCAAACAAGCTACCAATATTGTCTGACATCCCAGGCTACAAAGTCACAGTTACCCTGTCAAGTCACAAGGGCAGTTAATTCAGATGACTTCTAGCTACACAAAAAAAGAGTGGCAGAAGGGCCAAGACCTTTGGTCTCATTTAGCCTCCAACAGCTTCACCTTCTGCTCTCTACAGTTCAACATCAGAGGGCCATGGAGGGCCAAAGGACCAGGGACAGGAGCCAGGGGCAGGATGTCACGTCTAACCCTGAACCCACCAGTCAAACCAGCAAGCCTCTGTGGGACGCTCCGTCCCAGCCTGGAGAACAAAGCAGAGGGTCTGACACTGGCCAGGCAGCCCCTTGTTCCTGGCTGGATTCCAAGTCTTCTTCCTTTTAAGGCTGCTCTACAGGACCATGTCCAGGCTTTGGCACTGCTAAGAACCTTTAAACCCATCACACATGGAGCTGTTCTCTGGGCATGCAGGGATGTGACCTGGCAGAAAGGACTTCCCTCCCAATACAGAACTCAAGAATACTCCAAAATGGAAACACAACTAAGAGTTAGTCCGTGCTTAGACAGTAGCCTTACACAGCCAAATCCATAACATGCTGCTTAGCATGCAGCAGGAGGATATGAGGGGACAGGACAAATAGCAGCTCAGGTAGAGGCTGTAGAAAGTCGCTGTAGAAGGTGTTTCCTTACTACTTCTTTTAAAAGCTCTCCAGCATGTCTATGAACACTATGTAGAGTCACAATAAAAAGTATTTCACAAAGCTGCTGGTTTCAGTTACATAAACAATCTATTGCTCCTCAGGGAATGAGAGTGCTGTATGAACAATCCCAAAGAGAGGAAACTGTTTAAAGACGGTTTTTAGTATTCCTCTCAGAATCTTGTGCGAGACAATCTAAGCCTTCAATGAAATTCAGGTGATGTCCAACACATTAAAATACAAAACCTGTATTAGGTATTTTGATATATTTTTTAAAAATCTTAAGTACTTTCATATTCATCAAAATTTCCAGGTATTTCTAAAAAATAAAAAAATTAAAAAAAAAGATCATATTCTGGGTGTGAAAAGTACACCCTTAGGATGGACAAAAGACCCCAGTGGGGGGTAAAAAATTTTTTTTTTTTTAAATGCATCCACATTAGTGTGAACATGGTCTCAGAAAGTGATGCGTACAGAGAGTTGAATGAAGAAGTGGCAAGGGGAGAGGAGGGGGTAGGTGGGTAAAATAGAGAGAGGGAGTGTTCAAGGGGTTTGAATGGTGTCCAGCAGGGTTCAAGTGCTGGTGTTTTGGTCCTTAAAGACGCAGGCAGCAGGACTAAGATCCAGAAACCAGTAAAGCTCCAACACAATAACAGCGGAGTTTAGGGGCTCCCCATCTTAGCGACTTGAGCAATTCCACAGTGTGTCTGTGCATGAACTACTTGGGCTCATATGCAAATCAGACAATGGAATGAGACACTGTGCTTGTGCTGAGAGTGTGCGCGGGTGTGTTTCTGTGGGAGTGGGAGATCCCAAAGGTGGGAACTGGGCAACCTTCTCACCCTTGTTCTGTGTTCCTCCCCAAGGGTAAAATAGGAAGAAATGGGGAGATTGTGAACAAGACACTGCAATCGCAAACACACAAGAACAGATATGGGGGTTGCGGGAGTAAATACCACTGCAAGGGGGGTTTGGCGCTGTGGTAACGGCATTCTCAGACAAACAGCGTGATCGAGATTCAACACACACATAAACAGAGCTAACACACTCACATGCATTCCATACACAGTCCCAAACTGCGAAAATGGGCAAAGCACAATGCAAACTGCAAAAACAAGATGTAAATGGGTAAAAAGATGTGGCACATTGCCATAATCCCCAACAAGACATCAGTCTCCCATGGACAAGAACAAGCTCTGGGAACATCTGAATGAAATGACAGAGAAAAAGAGGAATTAGTAGATGAAAGAGAGAATAAAGGGATGAATGGTAAATCTTGGCCAAACCAATGGACTTGGAAAGGCTGCTTTCTTTCGCCATCCTTCTGAAACTATAGATCTTATGGTGGTGTTTGGTGTGAATGTGAGCATGTTTATAAGTATAAGTAGTGGCTCCCATGTACATGTGAATGATCGCATATACATTATGCATTTGTGTAAATGTTTCCATCGTACATCAACTGCACTTGTACTGCACGGTAAAAATATGCAAAATGTGCATGTGTGCCACACACTTCTTGCTGCTGAGTTACAGTTGCCGTATCCAGTGTGACCTTTCTCTCAACCTTTAATGTCTTCAGCAGCCACGTCCTCCCTTTTCCCCCCCCTTTCTATGTCTGTTCTGGTATCCATTCCATCACATTTACTTACATTTCTTCTTGTTTTTATCCCTCCTAAATTGAGGTTTATTGCGTATGAATCCGCTTTTATGGTAAAATAACTTTTCCATGTGCATTTAAGTATACGGTATAATGCATTTGCCTGTTATCTAGATTGCAACAATGCTTCTCTGACCAGTCATCCCTGATCTTTTGTTGGATTTTTCGAAAAATGTATCTTTAAAGTATATATCTTTAACCCACTGCTGAACCATTTGATGAACTACTGCCTTCTAACCATTGACGTGTGTAACCAAGCTGGATAGACTTCTGCACAGCACAACTGTAATACATGAAAAATGAAAGCAGGTGCCAGGATTCATGTAGAAATAAGAGCGAAAAGAGCCTAGGTAGGCCCCTGTTGAGGACTTTGGACCTATAATAACAAAAGTAAAAGAGGAAAAAGAGGGGACTGGTCTTCCTCCTCTTTTACAGTATAAGCAGGCTGTTGGGATATTTAATGTCTCTCAGGAAAGCAAAAGTAATGAGAGAAACAAACCACTTTGGTCACTGGCCTGAGAGGCGAGGAGCAGTTCAGAGAGGAGGGGGATAGACGGAGAGAGATATGTAAATAATGTGGGAGAGAGATCAACACATTTCTTGAAATTGACACATCATCCTGATACGCCCATAAAACAGCTGAACTTTACTGCTTTACCGTCTGTCCTCCAGCTACAGTACAAGATGACCATCTCTCATGTACAGAGCGATCAGAGATGTTGTTGAACTGAGGCTCAGTGTGAAACATTAAAACACCAAACGGACAGAGCAGAAACATTTGTCTCCTGTAAAATGGGCTTGCACGTCAAAATGTTAAGTCATATATCATTGTGGCATTTTGGGGAGCATGGCAAAAACTCACTCTTTAGGTGAAATATTACAAAGTATGGAAATACAACATCATAGAGTTCATCCATCCATTAAAACTAGTTCATCATTATTTTGCCTGATGAAGGTCTAGTACTGAAACGTTGCCAGCTTATAAACTTATTTTTGCAAGTTAAACAGTGTGCGGAAGTTTGTTTTGCTAAAGTATCAGTAACAGTCTAAGAGAAATTTGAATTTTAACACAAAGAAGAGGGACACAATCTTGGTCTATGTGATATTACATTTATACTGTCAGGAATATACTGGATGGATGGAACTCACACTACAACCATCAAGTGTTGCAGCAGTCCTCACACTGTTGCCAAAATATTAAAATGTAATACTATTATACTGGGTTATGTTTTTTTTTTATAAAAATAAATAAATAAATAAATAAATAAACCTTAAAGGTGGAAATACAATTCAACTTAGAAAATATATATGGATCAAAGTAAGTGAATGTGAGACAACGCATACCTTATACCGCATCTTGGGACAGGAGTGAATGTAAAAGCCCAGGTAGTAGTAGGACAACTTGGGGGACTGTTTCTGCAGCTGCCTGGTGAATGCGATCTCCCTGTGGCAGGAAACACAGAAACACATCTTTTCACAGAGGTACTGTAAGAAAAGTCTCAGCCTTACTGCTTCACTGAAAACAAATCAGCCATACAAAGTAAAGAGTCATTTAGAATATATTCATTCATATTACAATACCTAAATGTAGAGTTTAAGTGTACACCAAATAACTTAAAATGTGTTTTTCTTACAGGTTAGTATATCAACAGCGTATAAATGGGGGCATTAAGAAATAAAATTGGTAGCAGGAGCTCTGACTAGAGCAGTGCCTAAGCTGAGGAAGTAAACACCCACACTCAAAAAGGCAGCTTTTCTTGGTCTCATTTCATTACACAAAAACAACTGCCTTCTCTCTATCGGCATTGAGCCCTCGAGCAGAAAAGAAGTTGGTGAAAAAAAGAGGGCGAGAGCGTGTAAAATAAAGATTTAAAACTTGGAAGATTTATACAGCTTCTTCAAATACAGTAAATGTCTTGCCTGCTTTATTTTTCCCCAATAGCTTCTTCCTTAATTGCACCCTTTTTCTAAAAGCCTATTTTCCCCCTCTGCCGTTTCCTTCACTATTCCATAACTAAATTCCAGCTCCTCTTTCTTCTCCCTTTTTGTTTCACTCTTCCTTCCACCCTCTGTGTTTCACCCGCTTAAATGAAGGGGGAGAGTTCCCCCTTCATTGCACTGAAAAATAAGACATGGGACAAAGAAGGCCAAGCCAGGGAGGGGGGAGAGACAGGCAGAGAGAGAGCAGGAGAAGAATATAAAAGAGGAGGGTCAAGAAAGAGAAAGGGACGGAGAAGAGAGGCAGCTAGAGCGAGGTGCTATAAGGTCACCCGCTTGCTGCCAGGTTCCTGGGTTCCCATCCCGTCTCCACAAAAGCACCCGGCAGGCCTGAATTGGGGGAGGGGGGTCAAGAGAGGCGAGGGCCCCATTCACAAAAAGCTCTGCCCCCTCCCTCACTTGAGGCCTTCACACCCCTACCACCACCACCATGGCAGCAGCTTGAGTCCGCCATTATCCCCTCTTCAGCCATCTGACACTCCAGCACAAGCCAATTATCAAGCCCTCTGCTCCTGCACAGCTTCCCTCATATTGATGTGCGCGCTCACAAACACACACACACACACACGCAGCCCATAACAGTGCATACCACAAGGTGCTTATTGCAGCCTCGCATGCATGTGGAAACACTTCATTACCAAACACTACAAGAATAGTGTTGATTAGCCAGATATAGCACGCAGAGTGAGCTACTAGCGATGGGAAGCACAGAGATGCTTATTTAACTTGGAAATTAACCTGAAATCTCACAGACACACATAAAATCCAAAGCTGGTCAAAGCAGGATAAAGAATTGCGCCAATCGAGGCCTTTTTGATGGATCAGTATTGTCTTTATAAGGCCTTCCTCCCTCATGTGTTTGCTCGGGCACAGCAGCTGTCAAAAATGCTCTATCGGGATCCCTCAAAACTTTTAACTGTGCAAAGTTGTGAGGGAGTTAAAGGCAAGTGAACTGAACAGCACACAAAATCAACAAACAGCAGCCTGCAGTTTCAATCAGTGATATGAGTGCACGCAACACAGAGCAAGCCGTGTGGACAGAGCCTCTTAGGGTTTTTTTAAAAAGTTGCTTTGCATTGGCTACATTTTGCAGGTGGAAAACACCTCTAAAGTGTTCCTGTTCTTTGAACTTAAACTGCATTCTTCTCCTTAGAAATTATCCACAACACTATGGGACAATATAGTATATACAGATACAGATTCTAAAAAGATCATTAATAGAAAGTCTTGATGCAACTATATTTATTTAAAAATCTAAGTAATCGTTATACTTATTGTGCTATGTCCATTCTGCTATTTTATTATATGTAGAAAAATATACACTAATATCAAAAAAATATTGGATCAACTGCTGAATATACCTCACTTGGACGAGGGTCAGGGGCAACATAACATCAGGACATCCCCATAAGAAAGTGATCCAGGTTGGACACCAGCTGTGTTTCCTACACACAGTGCCTCAGGCACCTCATTATGTGCCTATTTTCTTCTCCTCCTCCTCCTCCTCCTCCTCCTCTTGTCCTCAGGGCCTCTGGCAGAAAGAGCTATGCTCCTGCAAGAATGTTCTCAACATCCCCCTCTCCTGTTTCTACTGCTGAATCACACAAATACACACATTCTGATGTACAGATGACCAAAATACATATAGTGCTGTACTTGTTTTTGTATGTCTGTGATGCCTAACATACATATTTAACCACCATTTATTTAACATAATACAAACTCTGTTTTCCCAGATGATGACCGGGTAAATATGTCAAACAAGTCAGGGTTCCCACTGAAGTACTAATTCCAAAACTTTCCATCTTTCCATAACCTTTCCATGACTTTTTGTTACTAGGAAAAGGTTCTGCTACACACTTTACATGTAATTCCGCTGTGATTTTTAAAATTCTGTTTTTCTTTTTTAAAGGAACTGCCCAGGATTCAATGTAGTTGGGCTTACTGTGGAGAAGAAACACCATTGAATGTAATGAATGTTTGGACAAGTTTTCGTGTGTGTGTGTGTGTGTGTGTGTGTGTGTGTGTGTGTGTGTGTGTGTGTGTGTGTGTGTGTGTGTGTGTGTGTGCGCGCGTGCATTCTGTACAGTAAGTTTTGGACAGAGTCAGCCAGGCCAAGCAGACATGGGAGTGTCCAGACCTGATCAAAGGCCTGGGCTCTGGTGTCTGTAAACAAGCGGGACGATTTTAGTCCCGCTGGCTCCCTTCTCAAAGGCCTCCTCCACACACCGAGCACTCTGTGTTACTCTTGGAGTCAAACTCTTAAAATAATAAGTGATGGGGAACTAACTGTGCGCTTATGATGACCAGGGTGTTCCCTCTATATGAGCGGAGCCCGTCTGTCCTAACTGACTTAGTGTGCGATTACACATACACACGTGAATGAGCACTCACAACTCCCATACGAACACCTGTACACTCCAACTTTGAAGTCGAGATCACACACACACATCTCCCACATGTGTGCAGAAATATTTTAAAAAGTCTTTCTCACATTATTGGCTTACATTTTACAGGAAACGCCAAATGCGTGCGCCTGTAGCGTATGTGTGTGTTCTCTTATTTCATCTTGGCAGAGAGAACTGTCGTCAGCCTAACCGCAAACAGAGCATTGCCTCAACCAATCAACTGCAAAGAAAGAGGTATTTTTCCCAACCTACAGTATTATGGCACTTAAAGTATACAGTTCTAAGGAAAGATCAAATTTGGTAAGATGGGACAAAAAGATCAAGAGTCAGGGGGGAGAGCAGGTTACGAGGAGGGCAAATGTGAAGGAATGGAGGAGGAGGAAGAATAAAAAGAGAACAAAGAAGGGAATGGTCACCAATGAGTGGCATTGCAATTCCTTTCTTGAAAAGAGGTACATGTTGCTGGTTAACAATTCTTGTTTAACAGCAATCACTGCAAATTGCAGCATCCTCTATTTCACAGGAAGCAACAAAAATATGGTCCTGATTTTATGAAACACAAGCAATGACACTATCCCTCTGACATGCCATAGGGGTAACCAATCATCTCCACCATCATCAATTATAAGAAGTCTTTCAAAACAACAGATAAGAGATGATGTGGTAGGGCTGGAACATTTGACCTAAAATCAAAATCATAATTAATTGAACATTTTATCTCGATTGTAATTAATGAACGATTTTGTTTTTGATTGTTTTTTTTCCTCTTTTGTTTTTTTTGCCCTTGTAGTTCACTGACAAGGTTTTTACTGTAAATATGCTCAACTATTAAAGCTGGGTTTATTTTTTTTTCGATTCACAGATGTCAAAAATCTATTATGTAAATTAATATTGATAAGGAAAAGTTGAAATGCGCATAACAGAGAAAGGTTTTCCTGTATTCAGCGCTACTATTAAAATTTCACACAATTATTAATATAAATGTGGGACTAATCATTTTCACCTGCAAAATGTGCGAGCACGGTAACACTCAATGCTTTGCTAGCTTTCTCTTCTCATTCATCAAATGACATCTACGTGGCAGGTGCTGTTATCAGAGCAGTGGAGGTAACGTTAGGCAGTACAATGTGTGTGTGATAGTGAGTGAGTGGGTGAGCGAATTAGAGGAGAGGGAGCTGTAGAAAATGATGGTGAAAGCGAGCGAGTAAGCTGTCAGTCTGGCAGTAAATGTACAGTGTAGGTCACAGAGTGTCCGTTAATAAAAGTGTGTCTGTCATTTCCCCAACTGCTGAAAGTAAAGGCTGTTATTGCTAGCTAACCTCTCCCAGACCGTCAGACTCTGGTCTGGAAGCTGAGCAGGACTGGACTGGGTGGAGTCACGTGACTACACAGGCAGTAGTATGTTTTTAAGGGGAAATATTAACAGGATTAAATAACCGAAATTATTGAATTATGTTGGTTAGATGCTTTGAATTTCAGTTTTGATTACTTTTCAATGAAATGTCCAGCCCTATGATGTGGCTGGTCTAAGTCCTGGTAACTAACCTGAGAGCAGAATAGGAGCCCAGAGACAGTGAGGCAAAGTCTGGGTGGTAGTACAGGTAGACAGAGGACACACAGGTAGGCAGGATATCGATCACGCCCACCGCAACTATGCGCCCATCCAGCCAATATTGTTGGTGGAAGGAGCCGTAGCCCACCTCGGGCCCATCTGGAGAATATTCAGCCTGGGGAGAGGTAAAAAGAGGAAAACAGTAAGAGTGGTCAAAACAATGGTAATACTCCTTTGTTTGTAGGTAATATATATAAATCACAGTGGAATGAGAATGTGGTATTTAATAGGACTGTTTTAACTTTCTTGCGCAGATCTACTTTCTATCTATACACTCACACCTGTATGATGGTGTATTATAACCCAGACTTTTCCCTGCCAGGCCTCACGCATTATGTGTGGGGGTGTACAGTAGCCTCACGATCAGCCTGCTAATGGCTCCCAAATGTGGAGTGAGAGCGGCTGGGGGGGCTGGCCACAGAAACACTCCAGGAGAGGACTTTTTAATAAAAGACCCTGCATGAGTGAAATCCATTTCACCGGGCGGCGGTGGAGTGTTGCCAAGCTTTCTCCTATATGTCTGTGTCTGCTCTCTCCATGTGGCATGAAAGAATGTGGGTGTAGCTGTACACCCGCGTGTTTGACTCTACCCCATTAATATAACAGTTAAGCATTTGACACACATTGCGTTTCTCATAGGGATCCACATGCTGGGTTTTTCAATCAAGTCACTTGAGTGCTTTTCTCATAGAGGCTTAAGACTAGAGGCTTGGGGTTAGGGTTAAAAGTCAAGTTAAGCCAGGGTATTGGTTTATGGGTTTCTGTATGTGTGTGTGTCTTTCTTCAGCGTACGAGTAACAGGATCCTTCTCGTTCACTGCCATTCATCTGGACCCAGTTAAGTAGCGCAGACGCTGCTAGTTATCACAACACAGAGAGCTAGCTCGCTAATCCATCGCGCCACTGGGCCCACCCTCTGACCAAATTAAAAGTGACCAAACAGAAACAAGGCACATACACACACACACACACACACTCCCTGCAGCTCTGTGACCCCAGAGGGCTAAACAAAATACCTATAGGGTGCTGTGTGCCACATTCCTCCTTAGCACAATATTCTTAAGTAGAGCTGGTTGTAAAAATAATATCTCTCTCTAGCTCAGGCCCTTGGACACTCTTGGAGGTCTGATTACCTGTCTGACACAATGTATACCAGAGTCCATTTATCTTTGTGTGTGTGTGTGTTTGTGTGTGAGTAGTTGGTTGGGAATGGATGATTAAACTGTCTAAATGCTGCTCCACATCACAGGACATATGATATGAGATAGAGAAGATGTGGGTTTACTACACATTAGCTGCGACTGAGTGGCAGGCAGGAAAAAAGGAGGGAAGAATCAAAGAAAAAAATGAACAGTTATTTGGAGGGCAGCAGGGGGTGTTGAAGGAGCGTCAGGCACCACATCTGGAGCAAGAACTGCACTCTATGTAGCAGTGTGTGTGTGGGGGGGGGTCTGATGTTAGGGGAAATGTCCTGGCTGTGTAAGCAGGCAGCCTGTTATTTCTTGGCACCAGTTTCCCCAGAAACACTATGGGCTTTGTCAGAGGCCCCTCTGTGTCGTCTAAAAGTTGTAAGTAAAAGCAAAGAGCAAGAGGTGATCAGTGTGTGGAAGAGAGGGAGATTTTTCTTTCCCCACCTCCAGCATTCATGCTTGAGCACAATTACATGAATGTGAATGCCAGTTCAATGGAAGTAATTGCCGTCTGAGTTTGTGTGTTTGTTTATAAGTTCATACCATGTTCAAGGCTGATCTTGTCTGACTGACCTGCGCGTCACCTCAGACGACAGCTTAATGGTTGCGTCCTTGCCACTGTGACAACAATCTAAACATTCTCTGGAACACTTCAAACCACTCCAGAGCTTCCCCTGCAGCCCCAAATCGCTCTCATATGGTCTAAATGCACGGCCATGACAGAAGTGTGCTTGACAAAGTGGGGAGGTGGTGTACTGCATGTTTGCTTCAACCTGCTTAGAGAGACATGTGGGTAGACTTTTACAATTAATAGATACAGGAACATAGTATGTAAGATTGACTTTCAGACACTTTTCTATGATTGTTTAACATTGTTGCAATTTATTAAGTTGTTTATTCTAGCTAATTCCACCAAAATGTAAGGCTGATGTGCCTCTAACACTGGCGTGAGATGGGAGAGAAAAGAACAGACTGTACTTAGTATTGAAGCCACTAGTCTCTCTTTAGCCCTTTAGCAACAGGTCAGAGCTCAGGTAGAAGTTTTACCTATATAATAAAATATATTTACGAAGGGTATGACTATATAATAAAAGTTTTAATATAAAACATTTACATGACATGATAATTTAATCATTTTTGATGATGATATAATACATAAGACATCTCCAAACAATAAACAGACAGATTACTAATTACTTCAGCGTTTTTATGTCTCATGTGTGAAATGATAGGATTCTGCTCCTTTATAGTTACATATACAGGTAAACTTCAGATTCTGCAGTGCACTGGTGCCTTTTAAACATTCATCTATATGTTTTTATGTGTAACACATCGATGGAAAGTTACAATTTTGACATCCGATGTGATGAAACTCCACAAAGCATCTGATCAAAGCAGTTGTTTGGAGCAATGTTTTCCTATAACACACTGGACAATGGCTTGGCCGCTGCTTACAGTCAGAATGTGACAGTTATTAGTTAAAGATAAGATTTTGGAAATAACTGTGTTTATTCCATTTCCAAACAATCAGGGAATTATGTGGGATGAGCATGGTTTCATTTACAATTTGCCTTTTTCGGTTAGTCCCCCCCCCTCTGTACTGATTTTTATTTAATGTGTTCTTATTATATTTTGTATTGTATTATTTGTACTTTTTAAAAACTTTTTCTTGTATTTGGTTCATTATGCATTTATTTATTAGCCCTTTTTATGTGGATAATAAACATTATTTTGAAGTAATACTACAACATGTGTGGTTTCTTCTTTGTCCTCGACATGATTATTACTGTTAATTGCTGTGGATAAATGGCACATTATCAGTATATTAATCGCTGGGATGTTATTAATAACTTTTGGGTGGAAATCAAATCAGTGGAAGATTGTTTACCATGTGTTTTTTCTGCATAACCTCAACTCTGTGCAAATCTGCAGCACTGAGTTGTTTCACCTAATGTAGCAATGATGCCATTATGATTCTGGCACTAACCAACAACAGATGTTGAGCTAACACATTTTAAACTTGCCCCCTCTTGCACTCACAAATGTGCATCCATACACAACCGCAAACATAAACAGAGCAAGTACTGCAAACAGGCTGCAAGTGTAGCACAGCACTCATGAGCACCCATTATTGTCAGTATGCAAAAACACTCATTTCTTTTACTGAAATGTTCTTTTGTTTTACAGTAGATACAGCTGTTTTTGGCTTTGAGCTGAGTGGGGTCTGTGTGTTCACTACTATGGTATGTCAGCTGGTGCATTCCCTGCTGATGTTTCTTTATATGAAGAAAATTCTCATTCTCTTCCTCTCAGGGAGAGGAGGAGAGAAAAAGAGAGACCAAATCACAGACGAGATTTGAGAGGTGTAGCCATAAAAAACCTAGTGACTAATTGGCCAACAGCCCTGTTAATGAGTGTTTGCCCCTTGGTTAGACACATTAGGAGGCTGTAAAGACAAATAAATAGAAACAGAATGAGTGCATGAACCCCACCCAGCCCATAAAATCTAGAGTTTCTCCAACACATGCCACTTAGACCTGACCAAGGTCAAGTGCGGTGACTGACACCTGCATAACTGCTGCTCATCATGTTTGCAGGTACTGCCACTGTTTATCAGACAGCACAAATGTGTTTACCTGTCTGTGTGTGAATGTGTTGCAAAAAACAGAGGAATCAGTGACAGCTGATGTTAATTACATCTCAGATTCAACACAAATCCTCTGTAATTTTGGGAAAATGGAACACAGTAACAAACAAGTCAGGCAACCTGGGTCCAAATTAGCTGCAGTTGGGTTTGTTAGTATGCTGTTCGCATACATTTGTATAAATGCAGGCTTACATGTGAGCTGATGAACCACGCAGTATGCAAGTCCATGTGGTGAGTGTCTGTGTGTGTATTTTAATAGCACATTGATTGGAGACAGATGGGGGCCAACACGCAGAGGTAGCGCAGAGAGCCATGCATAATAACTCTGAAATGGAGAGCATTTGGAGAGACAGGAGAAGACAGGGAGGGAGATCAGAGAAAGAAATAAAAACAAGTTGGGCGAGAGGAGGCCAAATGAATGGAAACAGACCCCTAAACCAGTCCAAGAAGTAGGGACAGTGAAAGCAGGAAGATATGTGAGGCAGTGTGCCACAGCACTGTGTGCACACGTGTGTGTATGTGCACAGAACTGTGTAATTCAGTGTGCCTGACCGCCAGTCTTGACGAGGTGATAAAAGCTTGTTTCCTATAAACACTAATGATGTTCATTAGTGAGGACCTGAGGGGGCCCACGCAGCAACACACAGTGACTGTATTTGTGTGTGCCTGTGTCAGTTGGTTTGTTTTGCTCCTGGACCTCAATCCTATTAAAGTGGCTGTTATAAGTCCCCATCCTGGGTGTAATTGTTGGTATAATTGTCCTGACCCAACAGGTCCAACGGTGTTTCTGAAGTGCTGAGTGATGCCTGGATGCACCTAAATCTCACTCCCAAAGAGTGACCAAAGAGAATACCACAGGTTAACTGTGAATCCTATTCCAGATGCCATCAATATCCTTCATATTATAATTTATAACCATATAAAAATGTAATCAGTAAATGGATTACCAGCAAGATAGTATCAATTAATGCACCAGAAGCTGATATATCAAACTTTCCATGGTGCTTAAATGATTACTTCTTTTTTGCTAACTGTAATCTGTGCCACGCTACACAAAGTGAAGAGCAGTGGTGCGTCCCATCCTGTCAAGGCCAGAGGAAAGGACTGGTCTGAAGACCTTGTGTTCAACACAATCTGGACACCACATTTCACTGCTTTCCTCCCTCACCACCCCCTTTCACTTAGACAGAGCTAAATTAAAACCCCTCCGATATGAAACAAAACCCCCTTCCTGAATCCCTTAATGCCCCCAACCACCCCTCCCTATATGCAGCTGGAAAAGAAAGAAAGAAAGACAGAAAGCGCGCAAATGTGGTTGGATAGGTATGTACTTGATGGAAGGAACTAGTGTACATTTATCTCCTTTTGAGTGTGTTGGATGAAGAACTAAATACTGAAACGCTGGTTTTTCAGATCATTATCATCATCATTTCACTGACAGTAATTTCACCAGGAAGACCTTCTCTTGGTTGGGGCAAAACATTATAGGTAACACATATGGATGAACAGAGACATTTAAAATGGGGTTTATTAAACTGTCAACAAGCCAAAAGAAATACATACCTCTAGTGGTGAATCACAGAGAAATCTCCGGAACTGGGGGTGACAGAGAGAAAAATAGTTAGTTCTCTGGGTCAGTTTATCCCTCTCCACACTCAGGTGTCACATATCAAATGCAGCCCCCCCTCATTCAAAAAAGGGCATACAAAGGAAGAGTGTATTTACACAAATGAAAACATTTAGCCTATCAACTGAAGCTCACAGTCCAGGGAGGACACCGTGACAGCTTAAATAATCAGCGTTGCTGATGTCAAAATACCCCAAATCTGAAGACACATTAAAATGCACATCGGATATCAATTACTGGGGAGCTTTATGTCTGTGGGAACATTAAATCTTTCTTCCATTCTCTCTACTATTTCATGTGCTCCTTCTTTTTTAGCACCAGGGTTGAGAGCAGTGTGTTTACAGACTAGCCAATCCGCAGGACTGGAGGACAAACGCAGCACGCTCCCGTGTTTAGGGCCAAAACCATTCTATAATGACAACCAGCATAGCCACAGCGGAGCAGTGATGGACAGTTTCTGGTTTACTCAGTCTATCTCACCCTCATGCACCACACCACAGTTTCAAGTTCATATTTCAGAAGGAAATGCAACAATCCATATGTGTCATTCATCAGCAGATACGTTCAACCTTGCTTCCAATGTCTGGTGAGCAGAACAGGGGTCTGGAACAGCACCAAAGCTTCATAAATATAAGATTGAGAGACTCCAGACAGGATTAAATAAACAAGGAGTGCATATGAATTATGTTAAACGGCTCATAAAATAGCAGGTTCCTATTAACCATTTTGGCAACCATTTTTTTCTTGTTTTCTCTCACTTTCTTAATAGAGGTGCTCCAATCAGGATTTTTTGGGCCGATCACAATTACTGAAAGCAGTAACGGCCAATACCGATCACCGGATCTATTTGAAGCCTTTTATTTATCATGTAGCATTATACAGTATACTGCATATTTATTTAATTAGTCCTAAAAACAATGTATTAAGTATTAAAATGAACAGATTATAAAGTATCTTGAAATGAAAACTGTTTATTTTATTGCCAGGAAACATGGGCAACAAATTCCGCTTCCTGTCTTAAAAGACTTAAACCACAGCAGCCTTTGCCTGGTTACTGCGACCATATTATAGTTATGACCACCTTATAGTTTAATAAATATCTCTCTCCTGTGGAATAAACTACAAAAACAGAACAAACAGCATATTCATAAATTTACTTCAACTATAAAAACTACAACAAAAAGGCTGTAGCCAAAATATTTAGGAGATAAAGGAGCTCGGAAACGTAGCAAAAGGTCTCCATTTTACAACGAAAACACAGAGAGAGAGGCAGTCAGCTGATTGTGTGGCGCCTCTCTTTGCATCACAAACTCACACTCTCTGCCTAATGCATTGTGGGTCAAGACAATTAAACTCTGGTAGCGGGTATGTGTGTGAGATGAGCACGACCACAACAGTTTCACATACTCTCATTGTAAATAGGCGCATCAAGTGCTTCCTGTCCGAAAAGGACTTTGGTGCTAGCTAGCTTTGTAAACTGCTCAGACCGCGTAGTGAAACCATTTTAGCTGTCATTGAAAATTTGTCTGAGCTGCCTTTCTGATCAGCCTTTTTAGAGACCACCGATCAAACCAGTCAAAGTTATTATCGGCCGATGATGATCGGTGACCGATCAATTGGAACACCCTTAGTTCTTCATAGCAATATACTGGATAAAACTAATTCAAAAGGGCTTCTTCCTGGATTATTGTTCTTACCAGGCTGGAATAAAATATTTTGGATCACCATTTAAATATGTGCTAGTGAAATTCTTTTATTCTGCAGGTGGTCAAGCTGATTTCACCAGAGTATAACATACTGACGCCACTGAAGCTTTTGTCATTGACAGTGTATAATAACAGGCTAATAACAGATTTGTATTGAAAGGCCAGTATTTTCCCAGTATACTGTCAAACCAACATATCAATCTAATCCGACTGTTTACATTACTTCCTGAAGAATGCAAGAATAAACCAAAGCCAATGAAAACAGACAGACTCACTTGCTTCTTTGGCACTCCTGATTTAATTTGGTATGACTGCTGGTACTTGGACTAGGACCAGCCTCTCACAGAGCTTCTCTCAATAAATGGTTGAATCCAAGTTATCTTTTACATACACCAGGCCTGTACAGACCCACACTGGGAGGGATTTCTGTCTTTCCTTCTCAGTAAAACCAATTTGGTTATTGGAAATTCCCACAAGCACACCAACATCCTCTGTTTGAGTGTGTCTGCGCACAGCAGTATAGCTTGTAATAGTGATGACTGCTGAAGGCATGGTTCACAGGGTGGGACATTCCTGGCTTAGGTGCAATGCAAAATCCTGCCAGTAGCCTGAACTCATCCAAAAGAGTGTGTTTTTCTCCGTTTGTCTGCCACAGCTGATGTGTGTGTTGGTGACATTATGCGGGGTTGTCCAACATGGGGGATGTTTTGGCAGAGAGGGGCTAAAGAATGATGAGCTGTCATCTGTCTTTTCGATTTCACCTTCGTCTAAAGCAAACTGTTTTCACTAAATATGACTATCCACAAAATATTAGTTAGTTCGGAAAAAAGCGGACCTATAAAATCTGAGGAACAATCAAGAAAGCAGCTAGTGTACAGAACTCAAACACAAACTAAAAAAAACAATGCATGCAGTTCTTGCTGAGAGGAGCTGTTGTGAGTTATGAAAGTCTCAAACTGTGCTCCCTGCAGTGCTCAATTCTACAACAGGATGGAACACACTGCCTTTACCACTGACTCAGCCGCACGCCAGGCTGGAGAGGAACAGAGGGGGAGAGGGTAATGACAGAATGGCTCAGATCACTACAATTCATTTTAACTTTACATTCTCCTGCTCAAGGACATTAGGCCAACTGTGGCTGCAAAGTACTGACATGCAGTTACTGCAATAGTCCCTAAGCCTACAACTATCCCAAGTTTGATTTATGTGAGACTTTTAGTTTAAGTAAAATAAGGGAAACCCACTGCAAGCATTTATACTTACATATTCTTTCATTTAAATGTACTGACATTCTTTTTCTTTTACACCTTCCATGACAATGTGGAAATTGTAGTGACTACATCGGTTTAATCTTTGCTCATGCAAAACAATGCTTATCAAGTTCCCCACCTGTGTAACCATGCCAGTAAAGTGTAATTTTCCACTCTTCTCACTAGGTCTGCAGTGACTACTGCTCTGCCAGTCAACAAATTACCAACAGCAAAGCCCCCCCAATGTGCGAAACTGCTGAAGGGCACAATTGAAACTTTTGTTTAAAACACACACACACAAAAAACAGAACCGACAGAACAACAGCTGCAGTTAATAAATGATATCATTTATAGAGGCCATGCTACGACACTGGCTGCTGTGTGTGTGTGGAACTGAGAATCTCCAATTGACCTTGTAGTAAAAGGCTGTATTATTTGATTAGACAAGTAAGTGGGTGAACTTTCACACATTAGAGCCTGTTAATGTATGCAAATGCATACTTGGATGATCGTGTTGAGTCTCTCGTCCTCCACCTCTACCAGGCACCCATCAGGGGGCTGCTGGGTGATCAAACCAAGCGGAATGAGCCGTGGAGCACGGCAGCTTTCCACTGCTGTCTCAACCCTCCTTGGCTGGATGAGGCCGCTCCCCTGGAGCCTGGCAGGGTTGACCCCTCTCTGGTCACAGACAAACAACAGACCACATGGCCCTGCCAGGCTGACACAGACATGCAAACAGACAAACACATTCACAGACAGACTCTGCAGGAGATAGACAGTCTAATGTGTAGGTTCACTCACTCAGGCATGAAGACAGTAAGGGAACAAACATGTGAATACAATCTCAGCTTCCTCTCTCTCTCCATGTCTAATACAACAACACACATAATGGTAAACGGAGCCGTGTCCAGAGGAACTTCTGGAACGTTCTCATCCACAACACATGGAGTCCATCACTTCCTCTCTAACTCTCCCTTTCCTATAGTAAACACGCATCTGTGTACAATTAGGAGGGCAAGCAGCCGTCTCAAACACACACACACACGCTGTCTTGTCTTCATTCTCTCTCTCTCACACACACACACACATCTAGCTAATTGCTAGATCTCTCATCACCGTGCCTGTATTCACTCTCTCACATTAAAAAACACTAAAGACAATCCAAATACCATTTCTTTCTCTCTACACCAATCTTTGCTGACTAGATCTTTGCTGAACCTAGCTGCCCTGCACAGATCAATGGGTAAAAAATACACATGAAATGTAGAGCTCTGGCATAACAGAAAGTGGATCTAAAATGGTAAACATGCTGCTCAGAGGGTTTTATTCAATCGCTCATTATTGTGCTTGACCATGTTGCAAATAGCTTTAAGCTAATCTGAGCCAAAAGTTATTTTCGTCATTCATTTCTTCCATTTTTACAGATACATTTTATTGCCATTTCACAGCTTTTTCCATATACTTTTTTCATGTTTCTTGGTTAAAGTCCTGGCCATCAAGAAGACTAAATACAGATTTAACAGGATTTGTTTTCCTGAAAATGAATGCCACATGTGCAGGAACTCAGTCACGGCTCAGCACAACAGTTAAGACACAGTAAGTGTGAGTTAGAGTGTGTGTGTGTGTGTGTGTGTGTGTGTGTGTGTGTGCGCGCACGCGCGTGTGTCTAAATAATTGCAAGTACTGTATGTGCCTCAACTCTGTCAGGAAACCATGATTGGATGAGGAAAGAATAATGTCTGGCTCCTTTCCAGTCATGGTATGACAGGAAATGCATACATCCTTAAACAAACAAAGCCATTTCCCTCTAGGACGTCGTACTGTCTAATGGTAGTACAATTTTGGCAGGGTAACTGAACTTGCACGCACACACACACACACACACACACACACACACACACACACACACACACACACACACACAATCTCGCCTATCGCCTGGCTCGGAGCCAGGCTGACAGTAGGCCTATTCCACATTCTGTCCCTAGGTAAAACTTTAATGGATTAATAAATACCTCCACAAATAATAATTCCTAGGTAGCAGCAGCAGGCATAGAATGGCACAGCACCAAAATGTGCCATCACCAAATCAACAATGTGTTTCCCATTTCTTTATGAATGCCACAGGACAATGGGGGGGCTCTGAGCTTCTGGGAAGAGAACAGGCGAGTTAACCAGGAGCTTGACAGGCAAGAAAATAAAATCAGCTGTGTTTAGTACTATGAGCTCAGGAGTGGTTGTCACAGCAGTGAGTCAAAGTAAGGGGAATTTATTAAAATCATATGTGTTTAAGTACATAATTAGAGTTGACCATGTATAAATTAACGGCAGTGGGACAAGACAAACCGAGAAGTGGACAACACGGCATCTGCAGTTTTGCTATTAATGTGATAAACCAGAACAGCTTATTTATAAAAGCCGATACCAGGAGGATGGAGGTCTTGTGAGGTGGTCTGTTTATGTCTGTCACTAGTGTTGACCTCTGGAATATCTCCATGCAGCACAAACCATATGTGAATGCATGAATTGTACATATCATCATCTTAATTTAACCCTGTCAAAAGGAATATATAGTGCTGTTACAATCTGGAGTCCAGTCATTTCTCCATACTACCCCAAAAGGTAGAGATGTCAAGGTGAGTTACAATGAACGGGCTCGCCTTTAACACTAATTAACCCAATCTTAATTCACACACGCTTTTACACTACACAACATTCAGTCAGTATCCAACCTGGAAAGTCCATCGGTAAAAAAAACAACTTAAATTTTCTGGCACACCAACAGACAGTTTTTAGATGTTATTCCTCCATTTCTTGAACCCACCTGATCCCGGTACAGTTGTAAACCTGAGCTGAAGCTGTACACACACAAACACACATTCCCTTTAATAGAGCTAGTGTTATGGCACTAGGAAAGAATCTGCCACAGTCTGCCCAATCTGACAGCTTTTATTATTTATTAATTACCTTACTTTTACAAGCTGGAGAATTCAGTAATTTACTGAGGCCTGCTGGCAGGAGGGCGGAGGAGGAGGTTGTTTTTCCAGCCCTGAGGGACAAAAGGCCCTCTCAGGTTAGTGAGAATGTCCTGCAGTTCTGCACCTTGACTAGACTTTATCATCTCCTCTTATATTTATACATAAAGTGGAGAAACAGAGGTGTATATATATAAATTATCATTTACTGTGTATTACACATTACACTTTATGAATCTATACTTGGTTACGGTTTCCCATTCTCATTCATTACCGGACAACACATCTCATTCACTGCATAAACTTGTGAACTTGCTCTTTATAGTTACAGCTTACACATTCAAAGAATAATATTTAAATCATTATAATTATTTATCGAGGACCAATGAATGTTATAATACTCTCAAAAGCGTGTACACTGCTCATGTGATGGACCGTGGGATAAACTGTTGTTGATCCAGGGGCAGAGACTAAACTCCAAAAGAAATTAATTTCCAAATTGGGCAACAAATAGTGATAATTTTCATAATGAATTTATTTCACTTTCTTTTTATTTTAATGATTACAAAATTGTTTATTTAGTCTACAAAATCCCAGTAAATGGTGAAAAAACGGCCGTTAGAATTTCCAAAAGTCCGAGGTCATGTCTGTAGTGCTTGTTTTATAACAGTCCTAAATACAAGAGAAAAGCAGCAGGAAGCTGGAACAAGCATGTGCAGCAGTGCTATACAGTAGATGCAGAATGATAATCATGCAGTACCTCACTCTCACTACAATCGCTGGGGTCATCACCATGAATGGCCATCTGGTAACGGGCGTACAGCGCCACCGATTGCTGATAGGATGCTGTGAACTGAGGGTCCTCAAAGCTGACCGGCACTAGCCTCACCTTCAAGCACAGGGTGTGGAGGGGATTTTATAAGGGTTGACAATGAATACAAGGACGCTGAGAGTGTGAAAAAAAAAAAAATAAAATAATAATAATAACAATAAAAATTAATAAAGAAGACGAGGACGCATGGGTGATTTGGAGGAACCAACAGTGAAGCATTCAACAATAGAGGTTTTAAACAGTGTTATACAAGTGCTTTGGCAAGTTGGGGTTCACATCAGTCTCCTAGTCCTCGAGGCAAGCTGGTAACACAGCAGGTCTGTTTTGAGTTTGAGATTTTATCAAAATGTTGCACAAAAAGGATACGTGAATGCAAGAAAATAGTGGGATTCTAGGAGACTGAAAGTGTGTTTTCAAAATAATAACATGACGAGCAACTTGAGGATGAGGCTAGTGCACTGCCCAGCTTAAACCACAGATCACACAGAGAGGATCTGTGATTCAAGATTCAAAATATCGTGTATCGGACTCTTCCAACACTGCAGACTCCTCTGATGAAGGTAAACAAGGTTGAATAGATTGCACAGTAAATTAAAATCTCATTACCACTGCTGAACAATGAGAGAATGAGACTCCAGTTCAGATATGAGGAGCTATCGTGAGATGGGGAGGGCACAGACGAGGTAAATGTGTGAATGTCGAGAGGGTTCAGCTGACGAACTGCCCCCAAAAGTGAAACTGCTCAAGACTAACGACCTGGCTGGCCGACTGAGGGCCAACTCAGGCACCTGGAGAAACACTGCTCTCAACCATGGCGTATGGAAACATTTTCCCCTCCATTTCCTCTCTCTTTAACTCCTGCTCTTATACACATATACTCCCTTTAATACGAACACCTTAATTCACTTTTTTAAATTCATACAGACATTTTTCCCCCCAATGTCTTTCTATTTCTAGAGAGGGATGTTGTAATGATTTAAACCTATGAAATGAGTCAGATCTTTGCTGCAAAAAATTGTTTCTGCAAAGATTCTGCAAAAACTACTACCTGTCCTGCATTTGTTTTAAAATATTAAATCACATCCAGCACTTACAATAAAGAAATTATTTAGGTAATGATACATTTAGTCCATTATATGATATAAAAATAAAAAAATAAAAATAAAAAAAAAAGGACCCGGATAACATATTCACAAGAGATTAAAGCAACATAAAATCCTTTTGATGCCTTTCTAGGTTCCCAAATTGGTTGACCCACTCCCACCCTACCCGGGTACCCCTAGAGCAGGTTGACCTATGTCCCCCCCACCCTCTGACCTGGCTCTCGGAGGGTTTGTCAGGAGGATCCTTGTGAATGGCCATCTGGTAGAGTTTGTACACCTGGTAGGAGGCGTTGAAAGAGGCTTTGAACTGCGGGCTAGGGGGATTGGAGCGCACTAGCCTCACCTTCAAAAAGAATACGGGCAGACAAAGGTTAACATCAAAATGGGAAAAGTACTGAGAATAGTGTCCAGAGAAAAGTGGTGATTAAAGTCCTTTAAAAAGGAAGATATTGCAATCAAAGAGAGAAAAGAGTGTGAAGGGAGAGAGAGAGACTGGCACAAACACACCCTCTCCTGGCACCTAAATAAAATAGATACATTTCCTGTTTTGAAGGATCTGTTATAATTCTTTATTAAATAGCCTTGTGTTCCCCAATGGCAGCTGTTGTTAGCCACCATAGCTGTAACTTGATGGGAAAACAAGAACAATACAAAGAGGGTGTGTTATGTCCATCTCCAGTGTGACACAAAAATGGCAGGTGTTATTCAAGATAAGAATGTAACAATCATTTGCTGTGATAGAAATCATACAAGTACAAAGATAATAATCATTAGCCAACTTTCCTCTTAATATTCATATTGTGTATATGAGCCCATTTCCAGTGCCTCACCATGTCGTCTGAGACGCATGTTTTATTCTTGATGCTGATAATACTGAACACAAATAAGAGTGTACAAAGACTTATCATGTTTGAATGAACGGGTGGAGGAGAAGGTAAACTAAACAACTTTTTCATCTTTTTTGCTTCTTTTGCTGTTTTTAAATAAGTGTGTTATGGTTCTTCCTACTTTTGATGACTTGTCATGTGTCTATACACTCACCTAAAGGATTATTAGGAACACTAAACACATACTAATACTGTGTTTGACCCCCTTTCGCCTTCAGAACTGCCTTAATTCTACGTGGCATTGATTCAACAAGGTGCTGAAAGCAGTCTTTAGAAATGTTGGCCCATATTGATAGGATAGCATCTTGCAGTTGATGGAGATTTGTGGGATGCACATCCAGGGCACGAAGCTCCCGTTCCACCACATCCCAAAGATGCTCTATTGGGTTGAGATCTGGTGACTGTGGGGGCCATTTTAGTACAGTGAACTCATTTTCATGTTCAAGAAACCAATTTGAAATGATTTGAGCTTTGTGACATGGTGCATTATCCTGCTGGAAGTAGCCATCAGAGGATGGGTACATGGTGGCCATAAAGGGATGGACATGGTCAGAAACAATGCTCAGGTAGGCTGTGGCATTTAAACGATGCCCAATTGGCACTAAGGGGCCTAAAGTGTGCCAAGAAAACATCCCCCACACCATTACACCACCACCAGCAGCCTGCACAGTGGTAACAAGGCATGATGGATCCATGTTCTCATTCTGTTTACGTCAAATTCTGACTCTGCCATCTGAATGTCTCAACAGAAATCGAGACTCATCAGACCAGGCAACATTTTTCCAGTCTTCAACTGTCCAATTTTGGTGAGCTCTTGCAAATTGTAGCCTCTTTTTCCTATTTGTAGTGGAGATGAGTGGTACCCGGTGGGGTCTTCTGCTGTTGTAGCCCATCCGCCTCAAGGTTGTGCGTGTTGTGGCTTCACAAATGCTTTGCTGCATACCTCGGTTGTAACGAGTGGTTATTTCAGTCAAAGTTGCTCTTCTATCAGCTTGAATCAGTCGGCCCATTCTCCTCTGACCTCTAGCATCAACGAGGCATTTTCGCCCACAGGACAGCCGCATACTGGATGTTTTTCCCTTTTCACACCATTCTTTGTAAACCCTAGAAATGGTTGTGCGTGAAAATCCCAGTAACTGAGCAGATTGTGAAATACTCAGACCGGCCCGTCTGGCACCAACAACCATGCCGCGCTCAAAATTGCTTAAATCACCTTTCTTTCCCATTCTGGCATTCAGTTTGGAGTTCAGGAGATTGTCTTGACCAGGACCACACCCCTAAATGCATTGAAGCAACTGCCATGTGATTGGTTGATTAGATAATTGCATAAATGAGAAATTGAACAGTTGTTCCTAATAATCCTTTAGGTGAGTGTATTTGTGTCTAGTAGAGTTAGCTAAATTGGCCGGGTCAATAAATTGGGGCAGTTTAATCAGCATGAAAATACCAAACTAGCCTTGATGCAATAGAAACAACTTTATATAGTTTATCAACCAGAGAGGACCGATATTATGTGAAATTACCCTGTCATTATGTATCTTTTATGTATCTTCAATTCTTTTAATAAAACAAAACTAAGGGGTTCATTTGTTTGTTTCTGTTATTTGTTTGTTTAAAAAAATGGCTTATTTTTAAAACCACCAAATATCAAGCCACAACGTCTACTGTACACTATACTGTATAAATATTTATGATGAGAAGGATGCACAATAAAAGAAGTCCACGTTCAACTAACCTAGCACATAAGAAAGAATGCAAAAGTTAGAAGATAAACGAATTCATCCATACATACACCTAAGAGATGCATATTTTAAGAAAATGTTTTCAGTGCTATAAATCAATCTTAAAAAGGGAGAATCACGAGACGACAGCCTTGTGAAAAGACACAAACTAAAAGAAGAATTCACCTTCCACGTCCTCCACCCCTATTTAATTAACCGTCTTTTCGTTTGGAAGCTTTTGTTGGCCACAGAGGCTGCGCCATATGAATCCCCTGGATGGACAGGATGGAGGAACTGAACCTGGGGTTTGTTTGATTTGGACCTAAGTGGATTTCTCTCATATGACCACTTGGCATCTACATCCTTTAGTCAAACAGAGATGTTGGGCCTCTTACATAAAAGGACAACACTCAAGTTCAGTCTTTTTAATTTTGTTCTAAATCTAGAGATATATTTTGATAGGCTGAAATCCTTTTGGTGAACAAACACTTCAGCAGATAGTGGACAGCATGGAAATGAAATTTTAACAATTCTCATAACAGTCTTGAAATTTAACACCAACAGTGTGATACTTGACCACTTTAATAATGTTCAAAAAAGGCCACATAATACCAGTGGCTTTTGTGCAACTTTAATTAAAATCAAAATTGTGTTTTTTCAAAGCTGTAACAGGAAGATATGTTGCTATGAACCTGGATCTTTAACATCTTACAGCACAACATAATAAAATAATATCATAGAGGAGACAACTGATTGTCGAGCCTTTGCATGTTAGCAATAGGAGATTTAGAAGAAAGGCTATGAAAATATGAGAAAAGTGTAGAGACAGTAGACAAGACTCTTGAGGGGGATAATGGGTGAACAGTTCCACACTTTCCTGAGCTTAATCACGTTCTCACACTGACCCCTGGTGGCTAATGAAAACCTCAGCTGAATGTAAAGCCAAGACAGAGGGTAATGAACATCTCCTATAACTTGTCTTCCTTTCCTATGCATTTCAATGAGTTAAAAAGTAATAAGCTTCTCCAAGGTCACAGATGCCAGAGAGAAATGTCAACGGAGCAGTTTTGCAGCAAGAAAAGGTGAGCCTATGACAATTCTAAAGCAAAGAGATGCTTAGTCACCAACTTTCTTTTGCTCCAAGTTTCCATTTCCTGTTATTTTCAAAAATGTCATATGTAACCCGCAGAGCCATTCTCATCAGTCAAGTAGCGTGATATCTTTAACAGATGTGTTTATGATTAAAATTACCTGGTCTGCATGTAAATTTTCGGGTGTAAACATATCTCTTCTGGTGTTTATGTGAACACATCTTTTAAGCCTGGAGCTCAAGAATAAACATCAGCTTCACTGAACTCCTTATCATCCAAATTGTCCTTCAGCCACAAATGTGACGCAGCCTTGCCATATGTGATAAACAGCTAAATGGGTAAAATAGAGGTATCGCTCAATTATTTGACTTGCAAAACATATAATTAACCTTCCTTTGCAAAGGATGACCTTGTGTTCATGCCCACTTAGTGAAATTGAACGACAATTGCGGGAAAACTAATTAATTCAATTGAAAAGAGCGGACTGGGAGGAAGTCTTGCAGGTCTAGTCTCAAGGGGTATAAAGACAAGAGACAGACACTGCCTGGTTTATCAGAGCATCTGGCTCAAATCTCGGTCAAGACCAAGAATGACGTTACTCTACCAACCTCAGCTTGAGACCTGCGCCAGGGATCTTTCTACATCGTTCTGCCCTCCTGCCAAAAGTTCATTTCCATGTCCTCTCACACTGGCTGAGCTGGGAGCTGTGGTTTTAATGTCATCAGAAGGGTAACGCAACCCAGTTTGTGTGGTGTGCCTGTCATTTGGTTGAATTCAAAGTGGTTTTTCCACTCTGCTCTGGCCAGCTATCCTCTCCACACACAAACACATGGTGAAGTCACTGGAGCTGGGGAAGAGGGCTCTAGGAAACTAAAGTTTCAAGCTAACTGAATCCAAACATTATCTCTTAATGATAACTGGATTCATCACAATAAGCTAATGATTATTATTATTATTATTAACACAATAGAGAGAAAAGAAACTACCTACTCCATGTTTCTGCTCACCTCAAGGCAATGAGAAGAGTTGTCAGGCAATGACTCACTGATGAAATCTTCCAGAGGTTTGGGTTGGTTGCTGTGTGTTGGTGTGGGTGGGCTAGGAGACACAATGGAAGAGACCCCATCCGCGTCATGTCTCATCTGCTCTTTCTGATGACGTCGCTCCTTCCTCAAGTCTTTTGCCTTCCGACACGGTGGCCGGCTAGCATCAGCTCCCACCCCTGCACCCCAGGGAGAAGACAGAAGAGGGGGAGAATTGTCAACAAAAACACCATTCTTTACCTATTTTCATGCAAAACACGTGGCATGCATTTCCAGGTGAGAACATATGGGAAAAAAGACGCAGTTATAAGAAATAATTCCATTTTTTTATGTGGACAACAATTTTTGCATTTATACTGCCTTTGGAATAAGTCTCAAATTTGGGGAAGATTTATTGAGTATTAAGACCATGTTTCTGGTATATTTCCCAGCAGAAGAGTTAATGAATAATTATGGTTGGGTATCGAGATCGGGTTTCAAGATGGAATTGGAACCAATTCTCCAAGAACACGTGCATTTCATTCTGCTAATCGGTTCCTAATTTTTTGCATATTTAAGTCACGCTTCCGACTAAACTGCAGTGAGCATTTTACAGTCCATAAAAGTTGCACTTATCTGCCAGGACCTCCTATAAGGACCTAACGTCACGTCATTTGTTACACAATATGTCAATATGTTACGCAGCATGCCAAAGCATGCGAGAAGAGAGTACATCTGTTCACATTCACACCTCCAATATGACGAAGAATTTACTTCAACACTGTGTAAATTTAAAAGAATGGAACATGTTCAATGTGTTGCCGTCTCCCAGCTACAATGTCGCCCCAGATACAGCTAACGCTAGCAACATCTCAAGCTCAGGTACAAAACACAGATCAGCTGATATTTACATTTTACGCTGAAGGTAAACGAATGATGTCTACAAATTATTCCAATATATATTTTTCTTAAATACGAGTTTCCAGAGACACCCCTCTAGTACTTCAACCATAAAGAAGATGAGCAAGGAGTAAATGGATGAATGTCACAGAGCGGTGACATGATTTGTGGTAAAAGGTGTTTGAATCAGAACAGAGATCCCAACCCTACTAATAATGACAAAGACATTTGCTAGCACATGAATGACTAGCTCTGCTCGCCATACTCTCATACACTTTCCATGTCTTTCTTCATAATAAAAATGAATATTTTCTGAAGCAACTGAATCTCTCCCTGTTTCGCTCTCTCCTTCCTCCTCCTCCTCTTCCACCACCACCACCACCACCACCACCACCATCACCACCTGGGCCCTTGCCAAGCCCTCCAGCTCCCGGGCATCCCATGTCAACAGTTTACACGCCCACATCCTGTTTGGAGCAATAAGGAAACGAGAGCCATTTCCTGCTTGTCCTATTGCCAGCCGCCAGCATCAGCTCACTTACTAACTTTCCCCCCCGTCAACGTCACAAGGACGAGGGACGCCTGGTACTGACAAGGAAAGAGGGAAACACTGGCAGTGGCCAAGATTCACTGGCAGCGTTCAGCTTCAGCTGACTCAAGTGACTTTTTCTACTGTAAAGTACAGTCTCTCCTGTGTATAGCAAAAATGGACCACAGCAGGAAGTTTATGCAGATTCTGGCTTATTTCATGATTTATCTTGAAATCAGGACTTGTAATTTATAATGTACAGGGTGAACTAAATACTTGAGGACTACAAAAACAGCAAAATATTATAGTATAATGTAACAAGATTTTAATCCAGCTGTGACTCAAGTCTTGTCAAAAACAGGTTCTCCAGTCAGTGCCGTTGACTAGACACTGATACATACATCTGGAGTTGGTCCCCGGGCGCTGCACAGTGGCTGCCCACTGCTCCCTTGAGGGATGGGTTAAAAGCAGAGAATGAATTTCACAACATGTACGTGTATGTGACAATAAAAGGTTTCTTCTTCTTCTTGTATACACTAGGGTTGGGCTGACAGACAATGCCATCGTCCATCGGCAATGGCTGACATACATCACGACGCTGAGTCGACATCGTAATTGTAAACACCCCCCCGGAACAAAATCTAAAATTTTCACATTATACCACCCTGTGAAAGCAGGTTTTAATGACCACATTCTTATAATGCTCCCCACACTCACACACACCTACACCTCAGGTCAACACCCCGGCTTGCCCCGCCTCTCTCTGCCTCACTCTCTCTCCCCCGTCTGCTCCATTTTCTCCATCGACAGTATGTTTAATAAAGTCGCCTAAAAGACTGAGACCTCGTCTCTTGGCAGCAGGTGAGCCGCACGTCGGTCTATTAATAACGTAGCCTTTCAACAACTGAAACCAACATCTGCACTCTGTGTGTAACTGTACGCTTGGAGTCTTGTTTATGTTTATATCTATTTGTATATTTTTATAGTTTTCACGGTGCTTACTGCGGTATTTGGATACGGAGGAAAGAAAGAAAGAAAGAAAGAAACCATAAAAGGCATCAGTCGAGACTGTGCATCTTGCTTTACCCACCAAGGGCAGTTACACTGTGTGTTCACTGTTGCTTTACCTGGTCCGTGGGTAAAATATCCACCGCGACTTGTAACGTAAGTTAATAGTCAAATATTTCTTACCACGTGAAGTCTGTGTGAAAACACATGCACATAAGACGACTGCCGCCCCACTGTGCGCGCCCGTGCACCCATCCCGATGTTTCATTATAGACATCATCCGATGGAAATTTTGTAGACATCGCCCAACCTCAGTATACACATACATTTGAATATTTCTATATATTTGCATCATACATCATTGATATTGATTACATTAGTAATATTTTCTTATTGAATTGTTGACATTTTATTTATCCACCACATGATTACATGCTCTTTCTGATGACAAAATGCGATTAAATAATAAAATTAAAACAGAGTTTGATGTTTATTCTTGAGTTCTACAAATCTTACCTGGTCCTTGTATCATTTTAATGGCCCTGTTTGCTGTATTGGTCTGTAAAATGGTAAATGACCGGAGGCACCAAACATGGAGAGCATTTCTGAGCAAACCCTATATAAACATGCAACCCTTGGAGTTCTAGTGTAGTCAAATGGTTGTCCTCTGTCAGAATAAACACAATGAGGTCAAGGCAGACACAGACTGTCTGTCCCTGTCTCAGACACACAGGCACAGGTACTCCTGAGGACAGCGTATGCAGCCGTGGTGAAGATAAAGTCTGACAGATCAGTTCCTGTGGAAGACAGTTGCTCCCGCTCCAGCAGTTAGCACTTCATAAAAGCTATGACACTCTGCCTCCCCGCTTCACTAAACATACATACGTCTCAAAATCAGCATAAACTGTCTACAATTCTGACAGACTGCTTTCTTGCATATAAACACACAGACACACAAACTGTATCTACTGGGTGAGGAGGACGCGGTTGTTCATCTGTGAGCAACCACTAAAATATTAACATGGGGATATGTGTCATTTCACAGGACATATACTCTGGAAAACTGTAATGCGAACCACTTTCTGTTAACTCTGCCTAGTTAAAAACACACGCTACCTACAATACAGTATACCGCTTCTCACTTCTTACAAAGCAACAAATTTGGGCCATCATCAATGATGCCACTGTTTAACTATAGCCATAATCTGCACAGATACATTGATTAACACTGTTCTTTTATAGAAAGGGTGTTAACCCTAACTTGCCAAAAACCCTGACAATAGCAAATTACTTCACTTTGCAATAAAATCATTTTAAATCAATATTTTGTTAACAGTTTCAGCTTACATTTCACTAGCTCCCTGGATTTTACTTCAAAACACTTCATACATAATCCCGCATCTGTTTACCTCTGGTTTTGCATATGCTACATGGCAGATGGGGAGCCATGTTTTCTCAAGTTAGACCTGGAACCTGCCCAAAGCTATAAAGTGCTCCAGTTATAAAACTAGAGGAAAGATATGTCCAGGTGTTTTCTGTTGGAGGTAAATAAGGGGGGAGTGGAGATTAAACACTAGCCCAACATAGTAAATCCTCCTTACTTCCTCTTTGCTAGCCTCCTGGAAAGGCTTGTTATTTCTGACAGTGTGAGGAAGAGGAATGCGCTGCTGACACAGGTGTAAGAGCAGAAAAACACTGGCACCGCTGAAGGTTTTCTCTGTATGTTTCTGTCTGCATCTGGATGTACCAATACCACGCTTTCCTGCTCCAACATACGTCCTTGCCTTTTGATTAATAAGCATGGGGCCTGTAATCGTTAGATGTTTGAAGGGAAAAAAAGTGGTTGAGGCATGAAACATGAACAGTTTTTAGAAGTGCTGCTTCCTGTGTCTAATAGAAGTTTATTATGTCTTCACCGCAAGTGTTTTGTTATTTATTCATTACTGTGAGCTGGCAGTGAGGATATCCTGTACTGGAGAGGATAGAGGAGAACCCCTACCAGACACACTCTTTAAAACACAGAAGAAGCACCGGCCTCCTTCACCAAGCTGCTGCACAGTGGAGTGAGTCTATAACAAGGTGAACAGTGACACCCCCTGGCAAACAATGGTGCTTTATCTATTGTTGAACAGTGGCAGACTTACTTACAAACTGATTGTACTGAATCGTCATTAAAGCTATCGTCAGTCGTTCCTACTGCAGTTTCAAAGAATACCAGATATGTAAAATAAAACAGAAAACAGCAATAGACAACTTTTTGAGAGACAACCGATAACATAACAAGAGCAACATAAATTATAGCAGCAACACAGAGATGCCATTCACTGCTGAGTACAAGAAAGTGTGTGGAATCAGGTGGAAATAACCAAAAGTCACAGATGTAGGAGAATTCACTGTGGCTAGTTGTCTAGTGTAAAGACCAGCTGGCTAGTTGAATAGTTTTAAGTGGCTACTCAGTTCCGGGATTAACCTGTTACAGTATATTAATTAGCCTTTTTACACATGCTATAATGAAATACTTCTAACTACACTACATGATTGAGTGAGTAAAGGTACACTGACTAAAAATATCCATCTGTCTCTTATAGCCTTTTTCTTCGCCCTAACGACTCATTAGCTGGCTGATGTATGCAGCTGCTGTAATGTCACTTTCACAGTAAGGCTACATGAACAAGCATACATTAGGCATATGCTATCCAAGGTAACAGATTCATGTAGCGCTGAAACTTCATAAAAAATGTAAGAAAATGGTGAAAATGCACATTATAATTTCCCATAGCCCAACACGACTAACGGCCAACAATGTAAAACTCAAAGATATTCCAAAAAGACTAAATGATAATCAAAAAAGTTTCAATTGATTAATAGTTGTAGTTTTAGATTCATGATTCGTGTGTTCAAGTTGTTGTTTTAATAAACAAAAATAAATGACAGGTTGCTTTGATTAAGGAAAATATGGTAATAGGTAGGGGTGAAACAATTCTCCAAATCCACGGTTCAGTTCATACCTCATGGTGTAATATTTACAAAAAAAATGTTTTCCTTTTTTTTTTTTTCTTTCATTTGAGTTTATTCAAATGCGGCGACTTTACAAAACGTAGGCTAGTATTGATGGAGAAAGTCGACAGAGCAGAGACCCATACAGGGAGACAGTGTGTTAGTGAGAGAATGTAGGTGTGTGTGATTTGAGTGTGGGGAAAAGAGAAGTGAAGAGAAAGCAAGTAGATTCAAGTAGTGAGTAAACAGTACAATAAGGTGGCGAATCAAGTAGAATTTAAATAAAATAATTAAACAAACTAGTAGAAATACAAATGTGTTATACACCACTATGAGTTCCTGTTGGTGAGTGCCATCTTCTTAACCTTTATTTAACTAGGAAAGTCACATTGAGGTTAAAACCTTTTTTACAAGAGAGACCTATCAGCCATTTGAAAGGGATTCAGATTTCTTACCTGGTTTAGGAGCAGTTGCTGTTGTTCTCCGGTCTGGGACAGACACTGGATCCTTTCTTGACGTTTCTGGGCCGGTAGATGTTGCTTCCTCTGCCTCCTTCTGAACTTCTGAGATAGCGGGACACTCTGCTAATTCCTTCTGAATGTCTGTGGCAGCAGCACACTTCACTTCTGAGTGACAGACTTTACTCGGTTCGCGTGGACCTGCTTCTTCACACACCGAGTCCATTGGCTCCCCTACAATGCACAAAATCAATACTGCTTACACCAGATAATGTGTACTACATAGTAGGCTTGGGCAGTATCACTGTATAACAGTATACCAAGCTATTTAGAAATCCTGATGGTATGACTTTCAATACCTTCAAAAATACATACACACCTATTTCTATTAAAGCAGACATAAAAATGTATCAGACAATAGAAATGCATTAATAACTACTATATAAAAACAAATACGCTCTCACCATCATCCTGTCCTTTTGGTAATTCCCCTTTGGAAATGAATTTGCTGATCTTCTTCAGGATTTTCTTGTGGGATTTGGAAGGCTGGAATTTCAGTGCATGACATCTTGACAGAGAGCACAAAAGTAAAGGTTAGAAAGGACAACATATATCTGTATATGTTTATGCTGTTATACAAATATTGAATGGGTGATTTAATTGATCAAACTGCCATGGCTCATCCTCATGTGTTGCATGAAGCATGAATCACCAGATAAATAGGAATGGTTAAAATATCATACCTGATAGTATACTGTGGACAGCATGTCTTGTTCATTATGGGCTTATAGACATATTTCCCACTTCTGAAAAGGAAAAAATTGATAACGATTACTAAAATACATTATCAATGATTTGAAACATTGAAAATGATATTTCTTGAACTACATTAATGACAACATTTTTAAAAAGGTCCATATGTAAGTAAACAGAGACTGCGTGAAGGTAGGAGACAGCTACATCACCTTCTCCATCCTCTGTCTATGAGGTCTTGGTAGTCCTGTACAGTCATGGTGTGAGACCACATCCCTGTAGAAAAAGGAACATCATAACATTACAACATTTAATTTGTTGTCCAGTCCTGCTTTCTTCCAATGTTCTCACACTCTGGCCTGGAAAAAGTCATTCATGCACTTATCTTCTCCAGACTTCACTACTGTCGCTCGCTCCTTTCTGGCATAAACCAAAAGTCACTGTCTTGCCTCCAACTAATTCAAAATGCAGCAGTGAGGCTACTGATTTTAACAGACATTACATCACCCCAATCCGTGCTTCTCTCCATTGGCTCTTGGTCTGTTCAAGATTAGTATTAAGATTTTGCTTATCACATTTCTGGGTCTGGTCCCAAGCTACAGCTAATTGTTGACTCTATATGAGCTAGTTCACAGCCTTAGTTATGTATTTATTCATATCGCATTTTCATAGTCTTATTTTTTTTTTTACCTTAATCTTGTTTTGTCATCTGTTGTTTTACTACCTTCTGAGTATTCGGCTTTTGGTTTGTCTGTCAAAGCACTTCGTAAACTCTGTTTTTAAAGGGGCTATAAAAATAAAGTTGTTATTACTACTACTATTAATTGATTTGATATGATTTTACTATACTTTTGAAATGGAAAGAAACATCCATCAGATCACGCTCTCTAATGTCTAACTTGAAGGAAATTATTTTAGAAACAGGCAGAAAGCGGTCCTGAACTAGGCTGGCTTTTTTCAGAACTGAATTAAATTAAGCTAAACTAAACACTTGTTAGCCTGAAATAGCAGCTATACAAATAAGGAGTGGCTCGTCAAAAACCTGGGCGGTCCACATTTTCCATCTTAAATCACAGTGTCCCCCAAAGTACATTCCCACAGTGCTTTAAGCCCCCATTAGTAACATACAAACATATTGTTTGTGTCCACAGCAGCTTGGATCTTACTTCCCAGAACTGAGGTCTAAGCTCCCCGTTTTAACTTCTGACCTTCTCTTCTGCAACCATATACACAGTTTGCACGTGCACACACACCAAAAACTAAGTCTCTATAAGAAGACCGCTATCAGATTACATCAGAAACAGCCGAGGGAATTCACTGTATACCAGTTCACACAACACACACTAAGTTTGCAACGGAGTACAATGTTCTATGTCCCAGGAGAATGTTGTTTAGTCAGAGTCCACAGAGACAACACATCGTGATGATCCAACAGAGTGACACCATAACACTGAAGCCGGAAATGACTGGAGCTAGTTCTAAAGCCTGCAGATATAGTAGCAAGACTGCAGGTTTTCTTTTAAACTTGCTTAGCAATACATGTCAGTGTTAAGTAGATTATTACATGGGCGATTTTGAAAGTTTAAACCATGTTAAAAATATAAACTGTTAAGCTGTTCTCCACAGAACCATACAGAAGAGAAAAAAGCTTACAGAATGAAAGGAGACATTCTTGTATTTTCCAGTGATAACACTCGTATGAATAAGAGTGAAATCCACCAGACATAATACATATATCTAGAATTTAAAATCCTTGGGGAGTTATGTTTAAATACCACAAATGTATGGCCTCACCATACATTTAGAAAGTAATCTCTCTAGAGATCCTGCCCTAAGACCCCATCTTCATGGCCTAAAATTCTTATGACCTCAGCAATTGCACAGAGATGTCGTGTTGAAATCTTATAAATTTGAGTATGGAACACTAATTTTAGTAATATATCTTAAAAAGCATTGAGTGGGCTCCAAATGAATTATAAATACCTTGGATATCAAGTGACACCATCCTAAAAACATTCAAGTAAATGTGGGGAAGGACAAGCCAGGGCCAATTGAATAACACAAAAGCCAAAATCCTTTTAGCTTCCTTGTTTCCTGATAACTAGTTATGCAGGAAGTCCAAAGTTAAAAAATAAATCTAGAGTACAAATGACATGCCATGTGAGCTCAACTTGAGAGCAACAGCTGCCGTCATCATGGCACAACAAGAGTGCCTTTCTATCGTTCACACCTTATCCATTTGCCTCCACTGAGGCATGACAGACACAGTAACACAGTGTAGAGCAGATGGTGTACTCTGTAGTGCGGGTTTGCGTTTGCTTTTCATGTAAGAACACTGTTGATAACATCACTTTTCCAATCCCGTAGAGGAAAATAATATCGTATTGAGCACCTGCTTGGAAAAGTTAACAGCACAACAGAGACTCGGTAGACTTTTCCACATGTCTTCTCAGGACAACACAAGCACCTCAGGAAAAATATAACTTGGTAAATTATAGAGGAAGAACAACTTGAAAATCAGTAGTGTTATTTTTTTTGGTTGTTGTAGCCTGAAATAGTGGGTTCCTTGCTATAGTTGTAAGTCCAGTGCACTTTCATTTAACCTTATCTACACCCGCAACCTGTAACTGTTTAACACGGTTACTTAGCACTTAAAAGATTTACACAGCAAATCTTCCTTCCTCGCCAGAACCTGACATGCCCACATTATGTAACATATCCAAATTACCACCACTCTTATCTTAGTTTACAACAGCTCCTGTCTGCAGGCTCTGAGCCCAATCATTCACTGACTGCATTAGGAACTGCCTGAACCCTATTTATAGTAAACCTGCCTCACGCCTGCTCACCTCCACTGAATGACACCATTCTGTCCCAGACAGAAAAAAATCCCTTCCCATCTTCTTACACAGCTTATTTTTATAGTTCTATATAAAAGTCAGAACTTCTCAAACAACACTGGCTGCCTTTAAACACAACATACAGTACAGCATCTTTTAATACCCTTTAAGATCTGCTCAATTGTGCACTTTCACTTTCAAAAAACTGTTCAGAAATGTTTATGGCATGTGACACAGTTACATGCCATGTCACCCTTCCTGTGAACAGATTTATGGAAGGAAATGTTCCTGGCACTGTGGGAGTCTTGTGGGCTAATAAAACTCTACCCCTAAATTAACCTAATGTGCCAATCTCCCCTTACTTTTCATTAAGTACACAGTTATACAGCAGGCACTGGGTGGAAAGGCTTCTTCCTGGTTCATAGCGGTCCAAGACAAGACTTAAAAATAAAGTCTTAGAGCTTTCAATTCTTCTTACTAGTTTCCCAATGCCCTCGATTGCCATATGACAAACACCCATTTTTTATATTCAAACCTATGTAATTGTGCAAGTCTGGCATGTAAGCAAACAATTTTGCCATTTACACATACATTGTGATTTGGCATTTGACATGGTATGCTAAGTAAAAAGTGGTGGCTTTACATATGAAAAATAGACATTTTGAGAATTAGGAGAAATTATTAACAGAAACTGGCATGCTGTAATGCTCTAACCACTGGATGTTTGTGTGCACTTGTTTCTTTATACTATCACTAAACAAACCAATCCAGGGTTCACTTGGAAGTGGGCCACCCCTCAAAACTGGGACAGGGAGAGAGGATTTCCAGAGAGTGCTTTCTCATCTGTTTGAACTGGTCAAAGACTAAAAAGACTCCTGCACTCACCTACAAAACATAAGCAACACTAAAACTATGAGAAAGTGCAGTAACTTGGCTACTAACGTTAACCAATGCACCATTCATTCGTATGCATATGTACTCTTACAGAACATCAGATCGAAGTTCTCCATACCAAAATATGTGAATACATGTGTGAATACACGACTGCACATCCTGCAACCCCGCATTTCTTTGTATCTGACACGTAAAGGCCTCTAGTTCCAGTGTCACAACACTGACAGACCAAATGAGAGAGACAGCTGCACTTTCTCTTGAGTGGTCCGGGTCCAGCTCTGCAGACTAATCGTTAGCTAGCCTAGCTTGATGCTAGTAGAGATGTTAACCGGTCTACTGCTATGCTGCTAATGTTACAGTGTTAGTGTTAAGTAACATATTATAACATTATTGCCCACCTGAATAGTAACTTAACGCAAAATCAGCAGCCCGTCCTTCCTTAATCATTTTAACTCATTATTTGGCAACAGTCTTGGTTTTGTTTTCCACAGTTGGGCTGCAAGATGCTAAGAGTAAGAGCTGAACACTGACTTAATAATAACCTCAACACTATCCTACTAAAAACGTTTGGTGAACGCTCACTAATGCGTGTACTCAGTACAATGTGGCGTTGCTGGTCTAGCAATGCAAGTCCAGCAATATAACTCATTATTATAACAACATTAGCGAGCCCTCTAACGGATACACTTCCAGCAAGTAGACGGAGCTAGGTCGTTAGCATAAAGCCAGGTCAGCTACACCGACTCGCCATGTTTCTTCGCTACTTCAGGAGACACTTACCATGAGAAAAGTTTCCCTTTTCGTTTTTACAGTAACCACAGCGGTACCCGTCATCCCCGCCGAAATATTCTACTATAGTGTAAGACTTGTTTCCTGCCATCTTTAATACGGAGACGAATGACAGCTGAGTCTGCCCGGTGTCCGGGCAAATACTGCTGGATGTCAAGCCACGCCCACACCCACCACGTCACCAGTGGGAGACAAGCGGTAGCTCTGAGTAAAGTATTTAACATCCAGTCTTCTCAAATCTGGCTTTAAAAGCTTTGTGTATGTAGATATCATTTGGTTTTATTACAATGTATGCATGTTCAAGAATTAAATGAACCACTGTACTGTTTACATATGTCTAAAATCATTGTGCATTTCTAAATTGAGCAATTGTATGTCCCCTTCCTATGTTCCCAAACCTGGGATTTTATGATTTTACAGTATTACCTTTGTGACACATAAGACACATCATCATGATTAAAGAACTGTACAGCATATTTATTAAATCACCTATGCAAAGAGGAAGGACAGCAAAATAAATCTGAACCAAGGTCCTGCTCAAACACTTCCAGTAAATTACAAAAAGACCAAGGGAGAGTCTGTACGTAGAAAAATAAGTTAGAAAATCACAGATGGACCAATGATTCAATTTTTTTTTTTCTTTTCACCACAATACATTTCCCTCTCACCAGCCATGTAACAGCCAGTCATTTATTCAGGAGATTTGTATTTATACAACATGGTTGTCCGGTAAATGTAGCCTCTGTTCTGCACACAAGTTTCCTTCACCAACATAGTGGATTTATACGGGTGATGAAGCTAAAAAGTTGAAGTGCCACTGGCAGACACAAACCTTTAAATAAACTCTGTATACATCAGTTATCTTGACTCCTGTTGATGGCCCTTTGGTTTGGCACCTAACTAAAGCTCCCCTGGGGGACCGGGATGTTTTCATGAAGGTATTTCATACTGCCTTGCTCAGAGAAGTCGGCCACAGTGTGCCCTTCACCTCGAAGGACCCATTTGGTGGTCAGAAGCCCCTCCAAACCCACAGGACCTCTGGCATGTATCCGTGCCGTACTGATACCAACCTCAGCTCCTGCAAAATAAGTAACATTAACTCTCATTGTCAAGACAGTAGTAGGTTAGATGCATTTACAGAAGGATGAATTTTCTCCATATATACCATGCCTGATACTGTACATACCTAGGCCAAAGCGGTAGCCATCTGCAAAGCGAGAGCTGGAGTTCCAGAATACACAGGCACTGTCCACCTGCTGCAGAAACTGTTCAGCCGTCTCCTCGTTTTCTGTAACAATGACATCAGTGTGGGAGCTGCCGTATTTGTGGATGTGGTCCACAGCATCCTGCATGCTGTCTACCACCTCTATGCAGCACTCCAGGTCCCCGTACTCGGTCCTCAGAGACTTCACCTCAGATGGGCTGAAAGTTAAATAGGATGCAAACCGGGGACCTGCATGGATTTTCACCTGAGAGAAAGCAATGGCGCAATGATTTATTAATAATGAAATAATCAAACTCAAATTAGCAAAAGCAATTATACTTGCTGTATTATATACCATTGACCTGAATTAAGTACTAAACTGCCTCTCCAGAACGTTTGTTCTTGTTTCTGGTACTCAAAAATTCATCAAAATGTAAATAGCCACTTAGCCATACAGTGTAATGCTATTTGTAATACTTGTGTTTCTTACATGTTCTGTTCTTAGCATATCAATGATCTGGTCAAATATAGGAGTTCGCAGCAAATCTCTGTGAATAAGGAGGGTCTCCATGGCATTGCAGGCCGCTGGGTAGTCACATTTGGAGTCTCTGACTAGAATGAAACACAAGTTAGTATATTCATTCAGCAGTTTTGGGTTACCCAAAGAAGTTACTAACCACAACTCTTGGACAACATGTAAAATCACTTACAACTGCTAGGTGCACTCAAATGAAATATGAATACAAGATTATTTCCGATTTCAACAACTTTTTAAAACACTGCACAAAATTAAACTTTCACAGCTAGTGTACACACACTGGAATCACATACCAACGGCAATAGCTTTTTCTATGCTGGCATCGCTGTCAACGTAGACGTGACAGACGCCCTCGCTGTGACCCAGCACAGGAATACCCTTAGCTGCCCTTTGGATGTCCCGTACCAGCTGGGACGAGCCCCTTGGAATGATCAGGTCGATCATCTTGTCTAGCCTGCACAGATCCTCAACTTCTTCCCGTGTGCTCACCTACATGTCAAGGTTAATCTTTAGCATATCACAGAATATCTGAGTTTGTATTATAATCATGTAGAAACTCACTGTGTTAATAACGTAATGCATTCAATTTTTACCAGTTGAATGGCGTCTGCCACCCCATGAATGGAAAGTGCTTCCTGAGTGAGTTGATGCAGAATTTTATTGGTGTTGGAAGCTTCTTTACCCCCCTTCAGTAGCAAAGCATTCCCACTGGCAATAGCGAGAGCGGCCACCTGAAACACAATATTAAATTAATGAAAATGTGAGATTAACTTTCAATGACAAAAAAAGTCTCCCAGAGCAGCAGCTGATGGTGAGTAAGTCTACAGGCTGAGCGTTGGGGCTGACTGACCTGTGGCAGACAATCAGGACGTGACTCAAAGATGACCAGCAGGACACCAATGGGAACAGTGATCTGCTCCAGCTCTAGGTTGTTGGCAACCCTGGTCCTCCTCAGCACCCGACCCACGCTGTCTCTAGAGGACACAGCAAGTTGACGGAGGCCAATGGCAAGGCTGTTCAGCTTAGCAGTTGACAGACTCAGGCGATCAATCAAAGGCTGGGAGAGACGCCCTGTGAGGAAATATAATAAATGAACAACACTGACAATGCAATACTCTATAAATCCATGTAGAGAATATACTTTTGCTTTCAGCAAGCAGAGGCATTGTAAAGCAGGACTAAGAACTTTGCTCATCCAGTTAAAGAACAGGTCTCACTATTCTCTACGCTATGCTGCCCAACAACACAGGGCACAGAATGCCTCCTGCCAAACTTCATTCACAATCATCTTACTGACAACATGGCTGATGCACACCAGAGATAAAAGAGAAGATAAATGCCTACCAAAGCCAACAGACAGATTATCCAAATCTCCTTCATATGCCAGTTTCCCTCAGTGGAAGTGCTACAAAGGATGGCATTTTAGTCATCCGACTGCATGCAGCTGTGCAGTAAGGTGATCAGTGTGTCTTCTCTGTGGCTCTGTACCTGATGTTGTTGCTAGCTCCATGTCTCTCTTGTTGGCACTGAGAATCTCATCTTTCTTCTCTGTAAGCAGCTCAGCAAGACAGCAGATGATCTCCCCTCTCTAGAAAAACAAATACACACACTCCCATATGATTAACAAATACCAGGATCAAAGATTGCTGTGTGTTTTATTTCATTTTCTTTGCAGCGTGCCAACCAAGAGGCGCTTCCCTATTTGCAATCTTGCAATTTAAATTAATTTAGCCATGATAAAATGAGGTCTGTAGATGGTATTTAATATATCAGTGCTAAATAAATTCCTATGATTGCCGTTCTACTGTTTAATATCAATCTACTGCAATCAGGCTTCATAACAATTTAGACCCCGTGAGAAAATCGTCCTCTTATACTACTTCACTTCAGTTAGACAGACCACACTGGAGCAAAAAAAAAAAGAAAAAAAAAAAACTCACCTGTTCAGGGTGCAGGGAGGACAGAGCTCTGCCTGCGTGCCGGGCCATCTCTGTCTGCTGCTCCACAGTTGGACCTGGGGGTGTAAATAATGCATGCATCAAATATTAAAAACACAAACTCAACAAGTGGGTGAAATATTCTTTCCAGATGTTTGTACCCAGTACCTGCAGGTTTCACTTCAGAGAAGAAGGTGCCAACTTTCTTCCCGTCCACAATGTCTGTGATGACGTGGCCTGTGACTTTAGGATTTGTGCCATTGGCAATGACAACTGATGTCCCACCCTGTAGTGCCCAGAGGGCTGCTTTCACCTGATTCAGACAACATGAGTGAGTATAATGCAACTTTTCCCTCGTTTAACCAAGTATTGTTGACACTTTGAGATAAGTGCCTCTGGCAAACAGGAATATCTATAAGCAACCTTTTATACCTAGTGCAATAAATCTAATGAATAAACTGCACTAATTGGTATTTTTCTGTACAGAAAGTATATTGTACACGGCATGTATGGGGTAAACTACAGTGATGTGATATGATGTTGGTATGTTTATATATGTCCATGTTTGTATAGTGATGTTTTTATAGGTCTGGTGAGACCAAAGACAACATTCCAGCCTTGGCTGGACAATAAAGTGGTATTCTATCTATTCTATCTAACATCAACATCGTAGGTCATGCTTAATTATTTATTCTCATTGTAAATGTTAAATGTTTTATGTCTGCAACTTTGTTAATTGTGCTGCTGCCTGTCTTGGCCAGGACTCTCTTGAAAAAGATATTTTTAATCTCAATGATTTTTTTTTTTCTGGTTGGGTAAAGGTATAAATAAAAAATACAATGCTGACCTTGGCTTCCATCCCACCAATACCGACTCTAGACTTAGTTCCGAATGTGATTGACTGCTGGTCTCCAGGATAGAATATATCAATGAGCTTGGCATCATCTGTTCCTGGGGGACTGTCGTACAAGCCTGTGGAATAGATTTTTTGTCTTTTTAATCCTTCACAGAACTAAAGAAGTCACAGTGATATTGATTTATGTTGATCAAGAAATACCTGACCAAGAGGCCAGACAGTATACAGAACGCTTCTTCCAGATTAACTGTTTAAAAGTACCCCACCGATTAAGCATTACACTTCCATAAAGCAGAGGGACTCACAGGGGAGATTAAAAGGAAGAATGGTCAATATCGAAGCAGCTGATGCTAACATACTCCAACTCTTAGTCTATAGTCGTGGTGTGAATCTCTAGGCACCTCATGTTTCGATTCCAATTCATAGAGCTACGATGTGGCCATAAAACCATTACCGAGGTACCATTCTGGATTTCTATACAAGATTTATTTTTTCTTAGTGTGTGACTACCTGCTACTATTAAAAACAGCGTATTTGTAACAATACATGAATAAATTAAACTGATTAATTTAGTTCTATTATCTCTTATTATTGATGTACAATAGCTCATACTTACTACTACATACATACTAAGTAAATCATGATTAATCTTTAAGTTAGTGGTTATTTCTGTACCTTCAACATCAGATAGAGCAATAAGGAGGTCTGCTTTCATTTCAACAGCCAACCGTGCAGCCAAGCTGTCATTATCTTTGATGCTTATTACCTGAAATACAAAGACATTTCATTAAGCCAAAAGGAAATCGACTGTATCTTAAACAACTTTTCAGTTGCTTCCATACAACAAAAGCCTTCTAGTCCCATTCAGTTGCAAAGCAAATATGTTTACCTCTTTTTCAAAAAGAGATAGCATATGCAGGACTGTGCGCAATAAAATGGCAAAAAAAAAAAAAAAAGAACACCATACTCTGAGTTAGTACAGAACATTCAAAGCAGCCTTTAAAGTTATACATTGATGAGGAAGGTCTATGCGTGATTAAAGCAATCCACCATCACGATTCAGGACCACACGTAGCATTCCCAACATGCCCTGCACACAGTACCCACATTTACCCCCTGCAAGTCACTGCTAGGAACAGGGGGCGGAACAACCGCATCATTGGTGTTGATGATAGGAACTATGTTCATGCGGAGCAGTTCATGGAGAGTGCTGTTCAGGTTGCGCCGCTTCTGCTCATCGTGAAAATCCAAGTTGGTGACCAGAATCTACAGAAGTGGACAGAAATGTAGAGAGAATTACACGAGATTATATAATATGACGTCAGCTTTTATTCTGTGAGAAAACTCGAGTACGCACTTGTGCAGTGCAGGTGCTGTACTGGGTGAACATAGCTTCATACAAGGCCATCAGACCGCTCTGTCCTGCAGCTGCACATGCCCTTGCCTCCAAAACTGGAACTGACTGGAAAACAGAGAGATTTCATTCAAGTTAACACAGCTATGAACAAAAGCATTTCTCAATGAGTGGACTAAACATTCCAGAGAATTGCAAGATTGTTTTTAACCATCTCTTTGAGTTGGTTCTGTCCAGAATGCAAAGCCTGTCTGACGCTCTGAGACAGCAGGATCTCATGTCTCAGTCTCTGCTTCCCAAACGCCACAGCACCACTGGTGACAATCATCATCTCCCTGCCTTGATTCTGCAGCATGGCCACCTGACAAGACACACAAAGATCACTTATCAGTCCCCTTTGTTTTTAAGTCTTCCTTGAGACCACATAATATTATTCTCACACTTACACAGCCATCATCCTCTCTTGTCCGTATCAACAATATTAATGTGGCGTTACCTGCTCTACTATTGAAGCCAGTCGTCCCAGTGCCAGACCGCACTCATCGCGTGTCACCACAGCACTCCCCAGCTTCACTACAATGCGTTTGGCCTGCTTTAACTCACTGCGGTGAGCAAAAGACTTCCCATGGGGACGTGAGCGCAAGACTGCAGAGAATAACAAAGCATTGTATTACAGATCAGCATGCACCAAAGAGTATTATAGCCTACAGATCAAAAAGATAGTCAGAACAGTGTCCCCTTTAGGTATGACAAGGAAGCTTGCTTGTTACTTACATTTAACCTGGGAAAACGTTCTGATAGAGACAGGACAGACATTTGACTGCCGGATGGATGGCAGCCGAGAGCACAAGGCCAGTCTGGCAAACATGGCACAGACACTTGGGGACAGCTATGATGAACAGACAGACCGGTGCCAGGTTACTTTTAACAGTGCAATAACCTCATCTGAGATAAGCAGCTTTCATATTATAGGACAGGCTGTATGGCCAGACATCAACACAGTGACTTAAATGTAAAGAACACCATAACATTTATCATCATTCACTTGAACATTATTTTCTTTGTTGCATCATGCCACATGAGGTTATCAGCATTGTGTTGGTACTTGAACTTGACACACTGACCCAGTGAACATGATGTTTGTTGTTTGGATTAACGTTAGTTAGCTTAAACATGTGCCAGCTACAGGGGCTATGTGCTGTTCACACAAGTAAACATTTGTGAAGCCATTAAAGTTTGCATGTTAGATCAACAAGGCTAACAGATGGTAGCTAGCTGCCTGTCTTGTGTTGTCAAAACGTACCTGGGTTAGCTGACGTTGGCTAGCATTAGCAGCTGTGAGCTAACTCACCGTCTAACGTAGCGGCTGTTTTCAACAAAAGAAAAAGACATTTTGTATAAAATGACTCCTTACCTGACAATGTGGAAACCTAGACAACCAACCACAATTGCACTTGGGAGAGCGCTGCAGGAGACCAGGAGACACGTAGTCAGACAGGCGGACCGGCGGTGCTGCCACATCCACAGCCCACGTTGGTTGGGAAGTGCCGTAACCGAGCTATGCAGGAACAACGTATACGTAGGATATCCGAATACGTTCATGTGGCAAGCAAATCAGTCTTTACGTACGCAGAAAGAGTACGTTAGCTGGGTGGACGCTGTAGTTATGGGAGGTACAAGCACAGGGATAGAGGGTCAAAACACTGGCAGTTCATATTTGAAATTTAGTTGAGAAAACAAACTGAATGCAACAATAACAAATGTCAGCCTATTGTAGACATATCCAAATTGTTGTTGTTAATTACTGTTTTACATAATGTTTGTTTTATAATTAAAATATTTATTCAGTTATGCAAGTAACAGTCCAAAAAATTAAAATAATAATTGATGTCACATATTTGTTTTTTAAAATGAACTATCACTGAATATTATGGTAGGCACATTTTGTACAAAATAATCTTAACACAAGGTTCACTTGACTTGCAGTGAAAACTCCAAAAGCTATTGAAGACATTGAGATTTGGCTTAAAATTGGACCTTAAGTTAATATTATGTTTGGCAAACTACTGTTTCCAAAGTCAAGAAGAAACTTTCACATTAAAATGAATTCATCTTGTTGGATTACATTTTAAATGGTACTGCGTTTAAGACAAATAATTTGGTCATTGTTGGAAATGTGCCATCCAATTGTTTGTGGTCTCCTGAGTGTCAAAGGTTCGAAACAGCTACTGGAAGATGTTAACTCATCTTTAGTAATCTGACACTGAGGCACATGAGTGGCGCATGCATGCCAAGAGAGGCCTGTGAAACATTCATGAGCAGGAAGGCCAGACACACACTGGACACTGAGCTGCCATAACAGGTGCAAGCAGAGCTATGGGCACTGTTGAGGAAACTTTAAGGTGTCCCATCTGCCAGGACTTCTTCACAGATCCTGTCACGCTGCCATGCGGACATGACTTCTGTCTCACTTGTATCAAGGCTGTCTGGGAAACAGATGGGTCTGATGAGGGTCCTGTCTTCTGTCCAGAGTGTCAGATATTCCTCCCCTCTGGGCTCACTCTGGAAATAAACAACATCCGTCAGACCAAAGTAAAGGAATTCAGACAGACAACAACAACACCAAGCAGGGGAACTACATCATCTTCAACTATCCACTGTGACCACTGCATAGAGACACCATCGGTGGCCATAAGGACCTGTCTGACCTGTGACGCCTCACTGTGCCAGGCTCACGCTCTGCTGCACCAGCAGAGGTCTGCTCTGAAGGACCACACACTTGTGGAGGTGACGGGGGATCCGCTGTCTCTGAAGTGCAGGGAGCACCGTGATGAGCTCAAGCTCTTCTGTATGGAGGAAATGGCCCCTGTGTGCTGTATGTGCGTTCTAGTCGGCACGCACAAGAACCACAAAGCGTTTCAACTCCATGAAGCCTGCGCAGACTTCAAGGTGAATACTAGCTCTGTTTTATGATTTGCTAGTGTGTTTTATTTTCTTGTAAGTGTTATGATTATTTATTTATTTCTCCGCCATGGTCTTTATTTTCTACAGGCCTGTTGTGTTTCTGTCTTTAGAGCATGTTGGAGACCACGATGAACCAACTGCTGAAGAGGAGAGGTGAAGCAGAACATGCCATCAAGGACTTGGAGTCACTGTATATGCAAACAGTGGTAGAGTCAATGTGCCCTTTGTAATCATCTGTATTTTAGTTCACATATCCCCCTTTTGAGTGTATTCAAACAATGTTTGTTTGTTTTTTTCTTAGAAGTCTGCTGCAGATTTCAGGGAGCGAGTCTCAGACAAGTACAGCAGGATCCGTGTTGTGCTGGATGGCGATGAGCGTCTGATGATGCAGATTATAGACGCAGAGGAGACACACATGACAGAGTGGCTGGAGGCCCAGAGGGGCATCGTGGAGGCTCAGATCAAAGAGATAGACAGCCTCAGAGCATCCAGCAAATCACTCCTCCAAGAAACAAATGATCTGCGATTCCTGCAGGTAGGTCAAAGGAATATCTTATCTTGTCTTTAATGATATCTGATATTATGACTGTGTTACTGTGATCATGTGAACGTCTTGTACAAATACAGCTAATATGTTTTCTGAGATTGCAAAACGTACAGTAGTACATAACTTGTTTACTTTCAACAGCAAATCACAGCACAGAATCTTTGGTGAGTATCTGTCACTTTATTTTTTCTATCCTAACTGCTTTCTTTTTGTAGGATTTTTGCCTTCTAATGGTTTCCAGTTTTTATTGTAGCAACCCTTTGGATTTAGCACCAGTCCAGGAAGTAGACAGAGGTCTGTGTGGCCCTGAGAAGCTAAGAACAATAGAGAGGCTGGTAGATGACCTCTCGGTGGCTCTGTCCCAACACTTTCCACGAATGTGGTCATGTTAGTAAATAATACAATCTTTTGCAATCTAAAATCAACCCCCACTATCTCAGTATTGTGGACTGAATGTAAATTTTTATTTGCAGATCTAAGTTCTCCTGCTCTGGACTCCAACACAGCTCACCCAAAATTAGAAATATCCCAGGACAGGAAACAAGTGTACTGGAGAAGGCAGCCTGTCCGTGAAGCTCTGAGCCCCCAGCCATATGACTCCCAGTACAGTGTCCTGGCTCAGGAGTGTTTTACTACTGGCCAGCATTACTGGGAGGTCATTGTCCAGGAGAAACCTTACTGGCTAATAGGTGTGACCACTGGGCCAGTCAATAAAAAAGATCGTCAAAGTCAGAGTTCCTCCAGCCTGGGTGTGAATAACACATCCTGGTGCATCTACCATGGAGAGGGACAGTACCTGGCATGTCATGATACCCAGGAGAAGCAGCTGTCAGTGGGAAAGAGAGTTAGAAAGCTGGGCATACTGGCAAATCTCCAGAAGGGGGAGCTGTCATTCTATGACGCTGATGTTATGACCCTGCTTCACTCTTTCTGTGTGCAGTGCACAGGGCCTCTCTACCCCATGTTAAACCCATGCATTGATATGAATGGACTGAACAGGCAGCCTCTTACTTTGTTTTGTATTAAGGACCCCTGGGATTGGCAAGTAAACACAAATGGGGGTAAAGAGGAAACTTAGGGGACAATGCACTGTATTTTTTCTTGTTTAGTCTATTGTTTGCATGATGCTGTAAAACATGTGAGGCTGTCAAATAATATGACCATCATCAGTTTCACTGCCTGGAACTGTTCCAAGTAAAACTAAAACTATGAGCAAGGAATTGGCCTACCTCTTAAAAGAAGTCACAGTTGGAGCTGAGATAGATGATGAACATACGTTTCTCATTACCAGCAGCAATAGGAGAGAGAGGCTTAAATTCTGTGATATGGTCTTCTGGTATTATGTTATTTTGATCCTATATTGATGTTTTACAGAAAGCTGTTGAGTAAGAAGTATAGCTGAGAGTAGATATTTTTAACTGTTTGTCTATTCTATAGTCATATAGGTGTTTCTATGTTACCTTTTCCGTGACTGCCGTTGTCATGTACAGTGGATATACATCAACTGATTTTGGGTGCACCCTCAAACAGCACTTTTGTTCTGTGGTAAAGTCTGGTTGGTCAGCAGTTTAGCAGCTCTCGTGTTTTACTTGATGTAGTTCAGGAAGTAAATGACCCGTGTATAAACTACTGGTTTGTTCTTTGTACAACTGTCCCCTCAGCTCACCAGACCATGGTGGAGGACATGGACATGTACGCCTTTGTTCTCACATGTCAGTGGCTCTACAGAGTTGCAGCAAACAAATGACCCAGTGAGGCCAAATGACATAAACAGTGACATTGTATTTCTACAGAGCACAAGAGACGTAACTTTATCTTAGAGTATTTATACAGTATGGTTTTACTCTGCGTACATAAATACCTCAAATCATCTGTCACCCAGGACATTTTAATAGATTTTAAAGCTGCAGCACATTTTGTGTCTCAACAGCAGAACACACATATAATCAGCTTTAAAAAAAGTGGCGAGAAAATGACATAATGTAACCTCATTTGATTTTGAGCAGTAATTTTGTGTACTTGTGGTTTTACACAAATTGCAGTACTGTGACTCTCGTTATCCTGATCAGGGGTGTAGCTGTGAGATCTGCCAGCCCTGGGCCTGGTGAGAGCATCCAGTAAAGACATGAGGCAAAGAACAGCATAAAGAGCTACTCAAGATTGAAGAGTAAGAGGAATAATTTATCAGCATGGTGTAAATATCCCATCACTACTTTAGGACATTTACTGTCCAGGAAGTGCCATCAGCAGTGGTCGACACTAACTAAGTACATTTACCCAAGTACTATACAATACAAATTTACAAAAATACAAAGGTACCTGAACTTTACTTGAGAATTTTATTTTCATGCCACTTTCTACCTATACTCCCCTACATCTCCATCTCCATTTTGTTATAAATTAAACTAATAAGTACAGCAAAAACAATGAATGGGTTGACAGAAAGTTAATTGGCAATTGTTTTGTTCGTTCAGTCATTTTTAATGCAAAAACATTTCATGGTTCCAGCTTCACAAACGTGAAGATTTGCTGCTTTTCTTTTTAATTATTTAATTATTTGAATGTAGTGTGAACAATGTTGAGGTTTGGGCTGTTGGTTGAACAAAAGAAGCATTATGAAGGTGTCACTTTGGGTTCTGCGTAACTGTGATGGCATTTCTCACTGTTTTCAGAATGTTCACAAAAATCAGTCGATTAATGGAGAAAATAATCAGCAGAATAATTCACAATGAAAATAATTATTTGTTGCAGTCCCATACAAAATAGTTCAAAATGAGCTCCATTTCAACACCTACAGCTTTTACACAAATGCACGGGGAATAATAATCTCATGATGTAATATATACTCATACAAAAGTCACAGGGGACAGTGTTCTGCATTTCTGTACTGAGTACTTACTTTAATATTTTAAGTACATTTTCCTGATCAGACGTACATACTTTTAATTAAGTAAGATTTTCAGTGCAGTACTTTTACTTATAAGAGAGTATTTCTTACATTGTGGTATTAGTACTTCTACTTAGGTAAAGGATCTGTATGCTTTGTCCATCATTCGATATCAGTGATGCATTTGACCCATTTCTTTTCCAAAGAATGATGATGCATCTGCTTTCTTATATTTATCTCCCACCACACTACAATTATAATGCAATTCCTGCTGAGAGAACACTGAGAAATGCTTCTTTAATAAGACAACAGGGCTGAGCAGTCAAACTTTATGTGTGACTGCTTATGTGTGTCATTTTTAATATATGGTTTTGGAAGCTTCTGACAGCACAATTTGATCAAAATGCTTCGTCAGTTTTAAGTAGCATTTGAATTTAAAACAATGTTGTAGACATGAAAACGGATATACCAGATAAAACTGCACAAAATGTAAAAGCTAAATCATGATAGGCTTGCAAAAGACTTGCATAATAACCAAGTCCTTAGCTACACTGGTTGGCATGTTGCTGAGTAACAGAAATGATTATGGAGATGCTGCTTGAGTCTTTGACTTGATCCAGTCCAGGAAGTGAGTGACCCTTGTGTAGACCCCAGGCTTGTTCTTCCTTCCACATTGGTCTCCCCAACTCACCAGACCATAAATTACATGGGTATTGTTCGGGTTACAAGTCAGTGGTCCTCCAGAGTCACCCTGAAACAAGAGCAAACGGCTGACCAGACAGCAAATACACTGCTGTATGCAGATATTTTGGATGATAGCATGCATTTAACTGGCACGTTTCCTCTTCTAACTAACCTGGCAGGAATCCACCCCTCCCTGCAGGTGGCCAGCACAGAACATAGTATTATCCAGGACTCTGCCATAAATAGCGGGTTCAGAGCACTTTTGTTGGTTGATTAGCAGTACATTAGCTTCCAACAGGTTGTTGGAGCCATAGTCAGCTGAAACACAAACACAACAAAGTAGTAAAAAACAATGTTATCTCAAATTTCAGTGGCTGCAAATGAAGATTCGAGGCATACAGGTTCCTTTAAACTGAAACATTAAACTCTGAAGTGCCTCTAAAACAAACCAATAGACCTGAATGGAAATGACGACTTTTATTTTGTGGCTGAATATGCAAAAGCGGTCTTACATTCCTCAGTGGCACCCCATCCGGAAATGGTACACTCCATCCCATCAGGCAGTTGGGCATCAGGCAGACAGGCTGTCTTCACAAACTGGGTCTCATTGGCACAAACTCCATCAGTGCCGTTCAACCTCAACAAGGCTTTGAAAACGCAGGTTGGATAAAAGTCACAAAAAAATTATTAAATAATGAAGTACTACTACATTTCTTTTTTCACATCACAATGTCATTACTTCAACTTTTTACTATTTTTAGAGTTTACTTCACAGACTATCAATACTACATTTCATCACTCATCATTATTACAACATTTTGACTCCCGGGCCTAATTGGCACTTTCACATTCCATCCTTAGTTAACTAAAAAGGTCCAGAAAAAGATGCAGAGGAGAGATGCTGTTAGTAAGATCTTGGATTTACACATTACATTTTAATACTGTTGGTAATGTCAGTGCTTATTTCATATAAAATGAGAGCGAGACATAGATCACCTATATCATTGTAAACCGCTTTAGTAGTCTCCCTGTAGTTCTCATGTAGAATAGCCTCTTCCACTTTTATTGTTTGCCTTGCTGACTCGTCCGTATTCAGTGACAGACTCCCCATAACCACCTTCATGTCCTTCTTTTGATCACTGCTCAAACACAAACAGCACAAACAGTTAAGTCCACATGTAAGAGCTATTTCATTATCAGCCAACGTTTGGTGTTTTTTCAGATTTGTGGTCCTTGTGATTGTGCTTACATGCAGTGTCCAGCTGTCAGTACCCAGCAGCTTGCGATGAGAACTCCTCCACACGTGTGTCTGAATGCCTGGTTGGAGTTCTTTGGTCTTACTTGCAAGGAAACCTGCCAGGGTAAAGCCCCAGGAGCGACCTTCAGACCCCCAAAGATTCGGGTAATGGGCTTTTTCGGCTGTGGCATCCCACACATGGTGAACTGTAGCGGTGAAGTGGTGGGATCGGGGAGGAAAGGAACATCAGTAGGTGCAAAAGAAGGTTGTGGAACCTGGGTGGGATTCTCAGTCGTTGGGAGAGTGGAAGTTGCTGGCCTTGTGGTTGCTGTAGATTCAGGTTTCGTAGGTTCGGGCTGGAGAGAAGTGGGATCAGGGTTTGTAGGGACAACTTCTGTTGGCGCAATACCTAAAAACACACACAAGAAAATAACAAGGAGATAACAATTGGTTTTTGTTGACAGCACTCAGGATCAGAAAGTTGTCCGAAGCTTTAAAGCTGACCTGTCGGTTTAGGACACTTTGTGACATCACAGTAGTCCCACAGCAACCTGTGGCCTCGTCTGAAGAAACACCAGGGCATCCTTTCTCCGTCTGGGTTTCTGTGTCATAGAAATAGTGTGAGTGAGCGCCCTCTTGTAGATGTCCTCTGCTATTTGAATGCAGTTATTTATTTTCTCCTGACCTGCAGAAGTTGTGAGGCCCAAGTCCATCTTTGTTCTCAAAGGACTTGCGATCAGCTCCTTTCTCCAGGACGAGGTGAGAGTTCCAGTACAGGCATTCATAGCCGTCATCTGTCTCAGTGACATTGCCCCTATATGACTCTCCATCATCCACATAGCAGTCACCTGGGGCTAAGAAATATTCCACACTCAGTCACTTTATGAGTATTGATATGATACATATATTGGACTGGGAAAAGGAAAACAAAAATGTAGGGTGTGGACTTACCAACATGGCAAAAATGTCCTCTGTACCCTTGAGGGCACTGGCAGAGAAAGTCATTACCATCCTTGATGCATATTCCTCCATTCCTACATGGATTAGGCTCACACAGTGAAACTTTGGAGAAAAACAGTTAACAGTGAAAGCTTGTTTTCAGGTACTGCAGAAACTTGTGGAAAAGAGGTAATCTGTCTTGTTTGGGCAAAGAAATACTCCTTACAACTTGTGCAGTGTGGAGGCTGGAAGGGCAACTTGCATTTGCACTGATAGAACGGGTGAGTTAAGGTCAGCACGCATTCACCACGCCCGCATGTACCCTTTCGACAAATTTTAGGACCTGAAACACAATTGTTTGGCTCATTGTATGTTGTGCATACATGACCAGCCTGCCATCCAACAACAACAGCATGGGAAAAGGGAATATTTTTCAAACCTCTCTCGCATCTCTTTCCCTTGTAAGGCCTGGGACAATCACATTTGAATCTTCTCTTGCCTTTCTGCTCACACACTCCATTGTTCTGGCAAGGGTTTGGATTGCATTGGCCTGAGAAATGAGAAAAGGTGACATAAGCTTTAAATTAGAGCTTTCCAATGTAATGTTGCTTCTTATGCCACAGGGAAAACATGCAACACTACACTGATTGGTAGAAATAGTTAGACAGAATACCTGAGCGTTAACATCTCTTACCTTCTGGCTCTTGAAGTTCAAAAAGCCAGTCTGAATTACTTTGGTCATCGTCATCGTCATCATCACTATCACCAACTCTGTCTATGATCTCAAAGAAGGCGTCTAAAACAATATTTTTCCTTGATTAGATATAAAGTTAGTAGCCTTCCACTCTGTTTTACTATAAAACAACCCAGTTATTTACAGTGAGACTGTGAGGACGACCAGGATACTAAATGTCAAATATTGTCCTATATATAATATGTTATAAAAGGAATAAAAATATAATAAAATAACTTACCTTCAATTATGTCCTTAAATCTTCCTATTTTTTTATGTTTAGGATGCTCAGGATGCCCATGCTCATGACGGTTCTTGTGCTTGTCATGTTTCAGCTGAATAATAATTTGACAGCACCAAATACGAGTCACAATAACAACAAATCCTGTGCAGTTGGTTATTAGAATTTTGTTGATATTTACATAACAGAAAAATGTTTAGTGAATTAATCTTTTCCCGACAACGAGCTCTGTTGCATTTTATTCACAGCAGAAGGCATTACCAAACATTGCAACACTATAAATAACGAGCCGATACATTTGCTCATTGCTGCACAATTGCTGTACAATGTATAGAGTGAAAACATACTTCTGCAGGTATGAGGAGCACTGCTAGGAAGAGGCAAAAGAAGAGGAGCTTTGGGTTCATGATGGCAGTGGATCAGAAGACATCCAGGAGAGTACAAAGTGAGTGCACTGTCTGGCAGATCACTCACACTTTTCTAAACAGTTGTGCAAGTACACTAACCTTTGATTCACTGGGGGTGTCTGGCATCAATCCCCGTTGTTGAGTCAGTTTTGTTGATTTTAGCTGTGCTCTTGGATGTTTTTTTTTTCAGGAATAATAGGCAGAACACTGCTCATGTTACCAAACATGATGAACATATAAATGGTACAAAATCAAGATCACTGACTCCGAAACATTTTTCATATTGAAATTAATTGAAATTAATGTGGTTCAAATTGGATAAGTGTGCGTTCCAATGCAACACAAAGGCTCAGAGAGTATATTTGCAAAGTCAATTGTTTGTTCGTGTGTAATGTAGACTTTGGATCCACATACAAGGGACATAGCAGGATACATTACTGTGCCTTTTTAGCTTTCTTTTGCCTTTTTACACATTTATAAAATCAGTAAAGTGTAATACTTCCAGCATGATTGTATGGCCAATCAAATATGCCACAAAAAGACTTGTATAACAGCATTAGTAACTTTTATGACTTCCAAGTAAAACCTCCTTTTTTAAATAAGACTTTGTCATTAAGAGAGAATATGTAAAACTCAATATGCATAAAACACTGTTTTCATGGTCCTTTTGCTTAGTTTAATGAGCTTAGAGACACTACTACTAATATTTCAGTACATCCATCTGAAAGTACATAAATACAAATACACAGCACAGGCACTGAATGAAATATGCAGTGTTCTCCTTAAACACGATCCCTTGTAAGGAACTATCTTCCTAAAAGAGATTTTTATCACACTGTGTCTCTATGTCATCTGAAATACTTGATAATTACTTTTCTTCAAAGAGGAGCAATTCTGTTTCAGCAAGGGTACCACTTTGTAATAAGGCCCCCTTCATAAAGGGTTTAGTAATGGTTAATAAAGGAAATAGCAATGCTTTATAGATGAAATTTATCCTGACACTGCTCTTTTGACTTCTGAATACAAAGAAGTAGTAGATGATTTTAAGCCTTAGCAATGTCAATCTGTTGGCCTGTCTCCCACTTTGGTCTAGACTAAAATATCTCAAATATGAGATGAATTGCCAATAATTTTGTACAGATGGCCTATTCCTGGTGTACAGGAATACCTGGTGAAGATGAATCCACTTTACTTTGGTGATTCCCTGACTTTTCCTCTAGAGTCACCAGCAGGACAAAGTTTTTGCTTATCTTCTTAAATATGTATCTTAACATCTACAGCATGGATTGGGACCAGATATTGTGCAGACATTCATGGCTCCCCGAAGGAGAAACCTACTGTTCTTGGCTTTTAATGCTATCATGCTAAACTATGACTGTGAACATGGTAAAAATTTGAAAGTTGTGCCTCATCAAGGAGTTATTAAAAGCTTTTCTGTGGAGCTACTAATCAGAGATCACTGGTAGGGGATGGAGTATTACAGATTACAATAGGTTTAGCATTGGTGCCATTGTGGTCATGTCCAGGACACAGGGCCAGGTGGAGGCAGTCTGAGAAGGTTCCTGCACAGAAGGAGAACAGTGGCGTCATGTTGTCTGCCTCAAGAAACGTCACCAAACCTGCAGGAAAGCTACACAAAACACCAATCCGACAGAAGCGTTTTGTGAAAGGCAGCTGATGGGGCATCCCTCCGTGCCAGGCTGTATATTCCCCATCAAAGAACTCCACACACCAGGACTCGTCCCCCCGGCCCAGCCAGCAGTCCTCAGTAGTGCCCTTGCGGGGAATGGTAGGATAGGTTACACCAAGCTCCCAGTAAGTCTTCCCAGTCACATCAATCTCCCAGTAATGGCGACCAAAGCTGAGGCCTTGCAAGCTGATGACATTGAGGGTGGTGTCAAAGCGTCCAGGGAGGTCAGCAAGTTGTTGCCAGGTTTCTGTGTAGGTGGCACTGTCACCTTGGGGGGAGATGATCAGCTTTGGGTGGGCCGTGTCTGCATCCAGATACACCTCACTGGAATCTGGAGACACATATTTGACAAATTTTACACAAAGAAATCTACATGTTAAATAGGTCAAGTTATGGCTATAAATGTAATGTGTGAACTGACAACTCTTGAAGAGTTTCTTGATTATAGGGGTCTGTGAGGAGATTAGCAGGAGCATGCTGTTGGTGAGGCTGAGGATCTGGTCAGCTTTTACTTCGTCCAGGCTTACGCTACTCGGGTCTGTCCTGTTTAGCATATCCATCACTCTGCAGGAGGCAGACCATAGTGAGAAACATCAGCTGCTGATCCACTGCTTCATATTAAAGCTTTTTGTTATCAGTTATGATTTGATCCATACCTGTCCACTGTATCTGTGTCTTGCTGCTCAGGGAATGAAAAGAAAGACTGAAGAAAAGCAGAAACATTTTATTAAGATTTAATGAACTGTATGTATGTGTAAGAACCATACACAAAAGAGAAGGTAAATATGACATTTCAAATCATATTTGGTTGACTGGATTTCGCCACCGTCAGGTTTAATCACCATTGTATCAGGCTCTGTGTCGGTCTGCTCCAGTGCCACTGTGAGTCTGGCCAGGCCCTGCTCTATCTCCTGTATTAGAGAACAGTTGCTTTCCATCAGCCCATCCAGGGCAGAGACAGCAGCCCGCTCCTCCATCTCCAGGTGGGACAGGGTAATCCTGAGGTCCTCGTCCAGTACAGACTGAATCTCCTGATATTTCCGAATGATGCGCTCCCTTATGACTGAGGACTTTTTCTGAGTCAGGCAGAAGCATTTATCAGTTTATTATACTGCCTGATTACAGGTGTAATCATAGAGTTTTACAAATTTATTGTCTCAATAAATAAAGATTTCATGTTTAATCACTGGCTTGCCTGACCACAACTTACTGTGATTTCTGATTGCCGCGCTGCCAGTTTTTTCAGTCTGTATTTCACTGCTTCCCTTTGCTTCTTTAGACACTCTTGGTGCTTTTCTATTGTCTCCTGAAAAAAGGGTTGCACACACATTAAGCATAGCTAATTTCAACACCAGTCAGTTGTTTGTGGTGAAGTGCAGCTGCAGAAGCAGTTTATAATGAGACTTGATGTAAATAGCAACAAAGTGAAGATTGACTGCCATGGGTGTGTTTACTGTTAACAACCAGCTTGTCTTTCTCATTGACTGTTTATTAAAAGGCATAACATATTTTATGAGACTGTATTTTCAGATGGTACAGTTTGCTAGCAGCACTGAAGGCTTTGTTGTGCTGCTGCCACCTTTCAAGGTGAAAATTATGCCCACTGATCTCATTGCCATTACATGACTGCAGTGTTGTGACCCAAGTGTCAGTGTTTGTCAGTGCTGCCTTCACCAGGAGGACCACAATAATTCCCCATGTGAGTGAATGAGGCCACACTGCCGCTTCCACAGGCATTCACTGTACAAGTGACGCATTATGTGATATTGACACTATATGACTTGTTCAGCTCATATTACAAAGCCAACATGGTCAAAAGAGAATGTTTCACCATGACATTTTAAGGACCATGCTGGCATGTTGAACTATCAACTGACATTTGACACTGCTTTCCTGAATTTACTGAGTTGCCATGTTGTCGGCAACAAAATCCAAGAGGATAAACAATAGAAAAACATATTATATTATTAATTTGGAAGTTTCTTGCATTAAAGAGGTTGCTGCAGCTGCCAAGTCTCAGATGACTTCCCAAATGCATCGATCTGGAGGAGGTGTTGAAATAATCATTGTTTGCAACTGCATAAACACAAGAAAGATACACACACAGAATGCTATTTAATGCATCTTTCTGAATCAAGATTTAAAATATTTGTAATGTGTTTTTAAACCATGCTAAAAACCATGAAATGAAGGAAAACCTTCTAAAAAGGTTTTCTAAAATAAACTGTGGCTGCAGTTATATACAGTGCTGTAAATATGTGTATGAGGGTAACAATCATGTCAAAAGATGTTACCTCACAGGGGCCCCAACTAATCACTGTTTGTGAAGAAGGTCAATAGACTCCCCCATTCGATTGGTCCCATAAAAGTCAACTAGTCCTCAGCCTACCTCTCACCCTGTGACGTCACTGAGCTGGTGTGTTTATTGATGAAATGCAACACAACAGAGGACAGAAAAGAGGCGGTGAATACCTTTGGTATAGCCGAGGATCATATGGTTCATGGTGATTTAAAGCTTTATTGGCTTAGATTTCAATACAACAAATGGCAGTGTGGGTTTTCATTTATAAAACAGTACTTTCAAATACAGTTGCTTGTTACATTAGGTGTTTTATCTATTTGTTACTGTATGTTGGATACGGCATTAAAATATATTAAGATTTGTACTTCCAATACATGTAAAGGGAAAGTGTCTGGCCATGTTTATGAGAGCCTGAGAAGAGAGACATTTTCTTTTTGTCAGGGTCAGATGAATGTTTGGCGTGTGTAGTAGGCAGGGGAAGGAGGCCAACGATGTGTAGGTGCTTGGATGAGTCATATCCGTGTAGATCCGGTAAAACAGTTGATGGGTCAGCTCACTGCTTTCCCAGTGGCTTTTTTTTTATTCAAAGACTCACTGAGCCAATTCTTGCAAACTTTGGACTAAAACTGTTTCAGCCCAAGCAAAGGAAAGCTGACACATGTTCAAGCTCGTAATGGCGCCATGAGGTTCTATTGTACTTACAAAGTTCCACAGGAATCAACAGCAACAAATAGTAGGAAGAAACAAGCAAGAAAGAAAGGAAAGCATTTCCACTCAAAGCAAAGCAAGAAGTAAAACAAGCGCTGTCAAACCAAATAACATGACCCTATTTATCAGTCATTCTCATTCTTTGTCATTTTTGAACATGGAAGAGATTCCCACTCCTTGTTTCCTGGGCAAGTCTAATCATTCAGCTCATTGTCTCAGGAAGCATCAGAGCAAAAAGAGAGTCCATTTCACAGCTTCCTTGATTATGCCTGGATAAAACATAAAAAAAAACAGAAGAAAAGGAAAGAAACCAAAACCTACATCTAGATTACAGTTGTTGTGTGCTATCTGGATGAATGTACAGTATGTGCATGCTGCTCTGAGCGCTAGAAGAGCTTGGCCTTCTTTTTCATGTCGTTGCGTTTCCACAGGGGAAGCCTGTCAAACTCCTGGATCTGCATTCCAAAGATGTCAAAGAACGTTTCAGGTGCTAAGTGGCGCTAGAATTGAGAACAAAGGTGGAGAAAACAAAGGAGGGGAGGGGAGGGGAGGGGGGTGTTCGTGGTTAGCACCAAAGCACTGGGTCACTGCAAAAATGACAAGAAGCAATGGATACTGCATATTCCTTGCTACAATTGTATTTGTGTAACAGGTTATTTACACAAAGTAGAGAAATCCAGTATCAATTGCGGACACTCAGATGGAAAACTGATACCTCCAGTCTGGTTCTGTCCACATCCCTGGGCAGTTTAGCTCTCCCTCTACTGGTTATCATGAGCATTTCATAGGGATACACCTTCAGAAGGAGACACTCGTCAGTGAACACGTCAAAACTACAAGCTAGAGTTAAGCTTCAGACACCGGCAAACCACTGTTATCAAACAAAACTGTCAAATTTGAATATTTTTGTAGTTCTGACTGTGACAGAGGGAACACTGGGTGGGAGAACAGGTATGTGACAGGAGGCCGACTGGGAGTGAGAGCTGTTTTTTAGGTTGTTGGGGGAAATGCAGGGTGCTATGGTGTGCCCACTTTTTTTCGTGTAGAAACGTGCAATAGATTAGGTAAGAGCAAAAACATGGAAACAGACTTATGTAACGGCGCTGTAATTTTAGAGTAATTTAATGCAAACTAAAAAAAAATGTAAAAAACTAACACCAGTAATGTAGGCCAAGTAAATCCACATGGGAATGATTGTCCTGGAAAACTGAGGTGCTTCTAATTTTCTAAATAACCCGTCTGCACAAGAAGAAACTGATGCAAATGATAGTTGTTGGTTTAGCTGAAATGCTCAATAATAAGCAACTAGAAGTTCTTTAAGGCTTCTGACCAACTCATATCCACACAGTAATGTACAATCTCTTATATACTACGCAGTATATAGTGATATGAGTTGTTTGGATGACAGTCTGGGCGTTGGATTCTCCACTGTATGCTGCATACAGTATCCAGCCACTTTAAGTCAAAGCTATGTGCAGATGAGCATGGAGAAGCCAGCATGCTAAGCGCTAGAGTGACTTGGCAGCTCCTGAAGCAGCATGCTAAATCAGGGACCCGACTAATGTGACTCTTTCACCTCCAGAAAAAAAATCTCTTTTTGTTCCCTATTTCTTCCACCAATGTCCCCACACTACGAGGGTAAATACTACGCACTAATTGTTTCATTTCATCCTTCTCTTTTGAGTCTGTCTCTTTTTCTTAGTGGGATTGCCACAGTTAGCTATCTCTAAATTAGTTGCAAAATGTATCCTTGTTTACCAGTTAAAATGCACTTCAATAAGTGAACAATGTATACATTTTGTAACATATTTCAGTGTAGATTACAATGCTGTCATCAGTACAAAAAGAAGAAGATACTTGCTTTTGGTTCCAACATATTAGGCATAGATACTCCCCTGTCCATCCTTGCAAGTGCTGCACGGCCATCCTTAATGTGCTAAAGAATAGAACATACACAAATGTAATATAGTGGAAGGGGACTGCAGGGTTAATGGCAATGAATATGTCCACTAATGACAGTGGGCACAGTTTTCACTGGATGGAGCAAGTAGCTTGGATATTGTTCAGTATCTTAATTAGTATTCAAGATGGGTAGTTGTTTGAATCTGAATGTCTCTGTATTTTTTTTTCTTCTATGGTGAATATATTTGAATGTGACATTTAGCTTGAGTCATAACATTGGTAAACAACACACAGAACAAGACATGAGGCGATGATTGTACATTGCATTTACAGTACACTGGTTCAGCTACTGGGCAGTGCATGTTTGGGCATTATAAATCACTGCACTGCATGCCCTGTAGTTGACATTAATCCAACTGTGATGCAAGCATGTAGCAGGGGTGGGCGGTGTGCATTCAGGGCAAGGTGTCTCTCGCAATCCATGAGCAAGCAAATATATGATGCAAGGTGAGGAAGCATGCCTTGTGAAAAAGCAGATGAGAGACATACCTGAAACTCTGCAGGACAACATGGGACAGAAAATGAGACTCACAGTTAATGGCTTTGCTGTCAAATCCCCTGACAGGCTAGTATCTACAACACTGCTGTCCCTGATGACACATTGTGTGAATCATTATGCAAATATTTCAAAATGCACGCTCATTTATGTACACGTAGCAAGCCATTTCTGAATACTGATGCTGAATAGCTCGGGTGAAATTGACAAGAGATTTCCATGGCGGCCACATTTTGGCAGCAGCTCTCACCTCTGCCTCCTCCACACATGTCACCATAGCTGTTGTACTGGGTGAAATCTGTTGACTGGGGCTGTAGGAACACATCAACAATAACATGTTAGGACCAGAATGGGATTTAGTTGTTAGTTGTCATCCATCTGCATTTAGCTGTCTGTGTTACATGATCAGAACAGCAATCTCTTGAGTATGAGTGAGCTCTCACCCGGTGCAGCCCATTCCTTCCATAGCCAGGCAGGGAGTTAGTTTTGGTGGGAGAGGTTGGATCTGAAACATAAATATTGTTCAAAATTAAACTTGGTTTTATATTTAAAAAGATCTTGACCCAAATCAGGAACACTTGCATCCACAGATAATTTTCAAATCACAAATGAAAGCATTGTCATAATCCAGAAATGCTGCAGCAAAACATGCAAAGATCTGTTTTGAGAAGTGTTACATAGCACAGAGCTTGTGTTACAGTACATTGCTGACAACTCATGAGCATATTAGCCGATGAAGCTGCTCTGTACCTGCGTCACAGTTGGTCTGTTTGGGGTCGTAGCGCTGAGCCGACAGGCTACGTGCGTGACGCTCCCTGATCTGCTCTTTTTCCATCTCCTCCTTCAGAATGAGCTTTCCCAAACCAGACTGAATCTGCAAGCACACACACATTCAAAACATTTACAATATATCTACAGATAAACATCAATCCTTGACACAATACATGTATGGCTTTCATCACAGGCACATGGCAGTTAAAGATACATCACCATATGCACTACCGCATGTAGTTAACAAAAGGTTTTTGATAAACGAAGGATATATCACAAATACAATAACCAGTGTGTGTTCATGTTGGACGATTCAAGGTTATCCCACTGACCTTGCTGAGATGTTCCTCCTGGAGCTGTTTTTTTTTCAAGGCCTCTTCCTCCTCCTCTTCTCTGGATCGTCTCCTCCCTTCTGAACCTATGGGTACCGTACACAAGCCCAAAAAGTTAGAGAAAACGCATACATAAATACACACAGACACACATTTCTGGAGGAAACCATGCTTCACGTGTACTTTTAGAGTTCAACCAGATGAAATGCTTCCTCCACAGTTACATTTTTGAGAAAGACAGAACGATATAGGTTTTTTTTTGTTCCATTTGGTGGTGCAGTGGGGACTACATACAGTAAATGAGTAGTAGGTGGATGGAAGAACACAAATGTGAGACAGAGTTGACGAGACAGACAAACAGAGGGACTTATTGGAATATTTGGCTACATTGACATGAAGGATGTTTATGCCTCATCACTCATGTCAAGATTTTACTGGATGTTAAATACACAGAACACCACAATGTAAGACAGACAGACAAAAGTTTGAAGTTTGAAGTCAGTCTCAGTTATCTCTGTCTAGGTCATTTGTGGCACTATTGTGTATAGCTAGTGCACCCACCATGTGCAGTAAGTGAACATAAAATGGTGAAACTGATGCTACCTCAAGCAGAAAATAATATGGCAGCAACAGGGAACAAAGGCTTCTGCTTTGTGCGAGCAAAACTTAAAGGAAAATGCTGTAACGCCTAAATAACAGCGTGAGCTCTGAAAGAAGCAGGGATGCAGTTAAGCTTTTGGGGCAGCTAGGAGGGAGAAACAAGAACAGTTAGGTTTTCATGAGGTGTCTATTGTACCACTAGAAGGTAGCAGTGCAAGCATGCCCATCAGGAGCCTACTGTACCTAATACAGCGAGAGAGTAGGGCCAATGGTTGCCCTCGCTCCGTGAGCTGTCATCTGGAGAGGGAGCATGGGCAGCGGGGAAGGTGGCGGATCTGATGATGTCATCAGCAGACTTGATTTGGTGTGCTATGGCAGCTGTATCTAGGTTGGTAACCATGGGAACTGATCTATCAGTGTCTGGCTTACAGTCTCAACCACAGGTAAACATCTTAGCACCATCTGATCGTCAGGCTCAAGGATCATTTAATCCTGGGCCATGCCGCCTACAATGCAAAAAATGTCTTTCCTGACAAGTCAATGAATACTGGATCACACCTGAAATCTAATCTTTTGAAATAAGTGGTTATTAATTAATTAATGGTTTTAAGTAAAACCAGAAGTAAACATATCGTTGTGGTGCCATTCCTCTTTCTCTTAGTCAGGTTTCCTTCTGACTCATTTTTCTGTAATTTTCACATGTAAGCAAAAGTTACATGGTCTTGCTTTAAGAAAAGGTTGATAATATTACTATAATATTACTACTGTGACTTGTTAAGATGGACAAAGAGCAGTGTAAAACAAGCTACAGGTCAGACAGAGGAGGATTTGGAGACAGACTTCAAACAGTGCTCATACACTGACACTGCGGGTGACTACATGGTTAGATGAATACACAGTTTCAGCTGATTAACAAAAGAATTTTCAATGAAGACCTCAGCTCAATAACATAATTACCTAGAGTAATGGTTCCCAACCATTTTGGCCTAAGGCTTCATCGATTCCCTCAAAAGTGTTGTATAAAAGGGGACTTTGTTTTTTTTGTTTTTTTACAATTGAAGTGACAATATTTTGGTTGGTTTGGTCAGCAGTCTTAGAGTGAAGCTGAATGTTCCAACCATTTATCCAGTACTTTTAGCTACTGTTTGGAGTTCTGTGTTTTCTTGCTAACTAGATTACACCCCCTGGGGTACAAGGACCACTTGTTGGGAATCAATGACCTAGAGCAGGGTAGGGCCTCCCCCATAGTTTACTTGCTTATTTACTTAGTTTCACTCAGTTCCTGGATGCCTATGGCGTCATGGTTATGATATTTGATCCATAGACACTCAACAATTCAGCCAAGATACAGTCAGACTACCCCAAATAATAAATGTCTTTCCTAAAGCATTTATTAGTTTCCAACTCTCTCTTTAACCAAGTTACACACATTTTGGCTGTTGATTACTATATCATCTCCTTTTGATAACTAATTCTTAGTAATTAGTAGTATTTTTTTAACTTCTGTTCTGCCCCCCTGGGGAAGCCCACCTCCCGCTTTGAAAACTTCTGACTAGAGTATTACTCTGAATTAGTACTCAGACATTTTCCCCTTCTCTTCTGACAATAAAACAGGCTATACTATAAAATGAAATGTACCGTGTTGTTTGTAGATGGGTGGTTTTCTGTAGATGTTGCTCCCCTGATCTGAAAACATTACAATATAGACAGAAAATAAATTTCCAGAGTATACAAAGTATCTATTATACGAATTAAAAATCTATTGTGAACATGTCAACACCAAGCAATGACGCATAGGGATTAAATTGAATTTCGCCCTTTTTCCTGTGATACATCTGTGTAGATGAGATGATCCCAACTGGAGTATAGTATAGTCTGGATAGATAGATAGATAGATAGATAGATAGATAGATAGATAGATAGATAGATAGATAGATAGATAGATAGATAGATAGATAGATAGACAATAGATAGATAGATAGATAGATAGATAGATAGATAGATAGATAGATAGATAGATAGATAGATAGATAGATAGATAGATAGATAGATAGATAGATAGATAGACAATAGATAGATAGATAGATAGATAGATAGATAGACAATAGATAGATAGATAGATAGATAGATAGATAGAGACAGACAGACAGACAGACAGGAAGAAAGTAGGGACGAGCAGTGACAGGGTGCGCTCCAGCTCCTACCTGGGAGGTGGAAATGTTTAGGGGTCTGAGAGAGAGGCGGAGTGACCGGCCGGCTGTCGGGCCTGAGTGGGAGAGGGGAGCTCCGGCCACTCGGCGGGTCAGTGCCTCCAGTGAGAAGAACCAAGAACAGAACGTAAGCAGGGATACTAAAGGGGAACCACAGTCTGAACACACAGGGACCAACGGGCCCAGTTGAAGTCATTTTGAGCGAATGGGAGACATTCTGGTTGGTTTTGAAAAATGCAGTTAATGGAGCTGCATACTATGTGCAAGATGAAGGCACAAAAGCAGATTAAACTAGCAGAGTTTAAAATAGCGAGATTAAATGATTGGGAGATATGTTATGAGTCATGAAGCATAATGTCTGTTAGTTTGTTGTGTGATATGAATTCATGGTTCACATCCCAGCATGCAACAGTATACTTATATTACAAAACCTTTATTTTTATCTCAGCCTTACAGCTTATTAGGGTCTGGAGATTCATTCTGACAAGGCAAAAACGTCATCCATTATCCAACATTCGGGGAACTGACAGTTTGGATATTGGATTGAGATTACTAGTATCTCTCAAGTGCATGCTAAGCTGCAAAACACAAACATGAAAGCCTGTCAGCTACTTTGGCAGAGGCTGTGTTAGTCGAAGGTGAATAAGTGCATGCTAGTTTGCGAAGAATCAGTGCCTTGGCTGCATGGGTTTGACCGAGACATGGGTTTGACCATTCAGGCATGGCAGTTATAGTTTAATGAGAAATGGCCATGGATCCAGAATGACAGATGGGGGCATTGAAGGGAGGTGGCATCTCAGGTGACGATGATGATGTTGTGTTGCCTTGGGGGGGAGGGCAGCGAAGAAGAGTGGAGTGGGGCCCTTACCTTGGCTATGGGGGAGGAAGTGGTGTCTGAAAGGGGAAGTGGGGCGGGAGTCACTATTTCTGGAGCCCACACTGTTACTGCACAGGGAGGAGCAGAGCTTCTGCATGCCTGTCAGAGCCTCTGCAGGGAGGGAGGGTGCGGGACAGGGGAAAAAACCCCAGGACCAGGCAGCAGAGGTGGATGATTTGGGGAGGAGATAGAAGGTAAGGAGGCGAGGGACAAAAGAAAAGGAAGATATACAGGAATCAAATGTCGAAAAGAGGAAATAAAAGACACCCAAAGTGCGAGGTAAGGAGTATTAAAGATGAACAGTAAGAAACAAGGAAGACCATTACACTTTAAAATCAAACTTTTTAATGGAAATAATAGCAAACTCAGAAGAAATTGTGTTGTTGATGGCGCAAAATTGACTTTAAGGTTGTTATTCTACAAACGGAGGGATAGTCTATCATGTCAAGCCAAAGTATTCCAAGGGAAAAAACATTACCATAACAATCCAATGTCAATTTTGGTGAAGTTCCCCTTTAAAATGGTAAATACATCAGAGGGAGGGAAGTGAGAACCTTAAGGTGGAGTGTCAGTGTTTTAAGACCTGTCATCTAACCTGACCAGATCTCACCAATACACTATGAAAACTCTGGGATCACTGATTTTATCACAAACAATATAACATTATGCACGCGCTGACACACAAGCACACACACAAACTGTTGGTTTTAAGTACTCACCTGGCCTGTGAAAATGCTGCGGCGACCGTGACAAAGTGGGGGTGTAACCATGGCGATTATAAACTGGCGATCCTATGGAGCCCTGACTGGTGGACCTTTGGAGAATGCGTTCCCTCCTGTCATAAGAGCCCTGACACACACACACACACACAGAGGTTATTACACAAACTGCCGGGAATAATGAGAATACATTATATATGGCATTTACATCGCATACGGGGGACAGTGAATTTGACAAAATGATATGCTCACCTCACCGGGTGGGGTTGGCGACATGTTTCTTGAGGACTAGGAAGAATCCAACAACTCTGTATTATAACTTTGTTTTTAAGACCTTCTTTGACAGTTTATCTAGATAATATTACACACCATAAGGAGCCCAGACAGCCATAAATATTTATCTGCTGATCTTCCACATTTTTGCAAGCTATGTACCTACAACGCACATAGTTTGTTCTTCCTGTGCGCACATCTGTTCTTTCCTAAACGATTTAGGATCATTTGTCATCATCACCACACAGTGACGTATCTTACCTTGTCATCAGGCATGGGGGAGCGCTCTCTCCTGGCAGTGTGGAGCTGTGACGGAAACAGAAGTTCAGTACTGCATAAAAGCTAGTTTAGTTATTACAGCATGACAACTATCACATAATTAATAAAGACTCCTTTGTGTGTGTGGGTTCTTTTCATGAGGAAAAGTCCTACTAGAGGAAAACCACAGGAAAACAGAGGATTATTTGAGGAATTTTTCTCTTAATGCACAGTACTGTACGTGCATAAAGATGGCGTGCATGCAGGAGAAGATGCATGCGATCTGTGTGTTTACCTCTCCCACACTCTCTTGTCTCTCCTCTCTCTCATCCAGGGAGGTGGTGTACAAAGGTTCATAGGTAATAAGATCAGGGCGCTCAATGTCATAAATGGCTTTGACTTTTGGAATGGCAGCTAGGTCTCTGTAATCAAGGATCTCATTGTCTACTTTTGCCTAGGGAGACAAATAAAGACAAACATGCATACACACACACAAGGAAATGGAGATTACTAATGTAAAACAAGTGCTAGTACTAAACAAGGTGCAACTGTCAATAGGGGCTGTTGTCTATTTAGACATTTAACTGCACAACATTTCTTACATAGATCGTGTGACCCGGTGAGCCAGGTATGCTTGAACCAGGTCTGGAACAAATACTTTCGGATGACGACCTCGTGGGCTGTGGGAAGACACACAAGTGGCTGTTAGTCACAACAATGCCTGTCAGGCAGTCAGTCTCCCATGATCCACAGCCCCCTGCCATCTGCTTATCATTGTGATCTTTACACAAAACACTCCAACATTACACCGTTTGGCCATTAAACTGTATGAGCAATGGGAGGGAATTGCAAACCCTGTATTTATGTTTCGTTAATCACATGAAGTACTTGGAAATACTAACATGTCATCTCATGATTAGGTCATTCATTTGCAAATTTTGCAAAGTGAATGAGTGCTTTAGCGCTGTGATTTTATGTTCTTAGGATCCTCATGCCTGTTTATGGGAAATGAACAGTTTGGATGGCAGCAGCAGGTCTGAATGTAGGGTAATTAAATGAGCGTTTCACCTAATGGGTTTTAGAAAAGACAAATTAGTCATCTGTGAGGTTGTGTCTGCTCCTCCAAATATGCGCGCATCTTTCTCACATTCACATCTGATATGAGCGTAGTTTAAGGTGTTTAAAGACAAGACTGAATGGCTTCGTATGACACACAGAGAGGGCACTGCAGGCTGTCTCCAGCAGAGGGCAGCATACAGTGCATCGAGTCCTATGTACATGGTGGAACACAGGATGATGCCATCTCATAGCCAATAGCGAATACAGTACCTGCCTTTCTGTTTTTTGGAGGAATAAGAGGGACGGAGGCAAAAGCTGTGGAGGAAGGGAGAGGGGGGTTCACAGGACATCACACAGGGGTTGTGCCTCTCCAGCCTGACTCACAGTTCATACATACATCAAGGCGAACATGTTGACATGTAAATATGCACATAAACAAAGATATATACACACATGCAAAGGCACACACACACACATACACACACCACAGCCTCAATAGGCAAATTATTTAAACCACAGTAGGTTTAGGTTTAACCGTTCAGCCAGGGAGCAGTAACAGCATTATGCAAAATCCCTAGTTACACATTCCAAATTCCTATGTTTTCTGGTGAAACACTGTCATGAGACATGAACAGAAAGGTGCTTTCAGTCAGGACAAAGTCGTACACAATGGAGTCAGTGACGCCCAAATTCCTACCCGCTCCCTGTGTCTCTCCTCTGTCCTAGTGGTGTTCTTGCAGCCAGGATGCCAGACTGTTGATCCTGAGGAGGAGGACAGAGAGAAAATACATTTAGAACAAAGAAGGGAAATAAAATACATTTTCACATTATTGACATATTTGGTTTATTTGCATATACGACTAAATGTGTTCCAAACGTGTGTTTGAATTGTTCTGATACACGTTGCTTTTATTAATAAAAGTTTGTTTATATTCTGGATTTACAAACAGGTTTGTGACAAACTAAATAACTTAATTAAAGGCTGTGCAACTAATCAAAAAAAATTGTATCAATTGATGGTTTAATTGTCTCAGGTGTTGGACTGGCTGTTGCAGCCTGTGGCACTAATAGAAAGGTTTCATGTTGTGAGTTTCATGCCTCATGAAGGTCTATGGCTGAAATGTTGCACTGTGATGTTGTCAAACTTTCTTTGACAAATTAAAGGAAAAACCCACATAAATGAGTGGAGACAGAGCAATGTCAGATGCTTCCACACAAGGACTCACTCAATGGTTTGAGTATGAAATTGATGTGTGAATCATTCATCTCTTTAGTAGTTTGAGTGATTAGATAGTAGATAGAGCATTAAAGCTGTTCTCTCAGCTTGTTGGAGCCTAGCACCTCACAAAGACACATGGCTGTTTATTTCACTTCACTTTAATTGCCATATTGCCAGAGTCAATGGAATTTGTTGTCAGTACACATTGTCAGCAGTATAACATACATATGTGTGTATGTGTGTGTGTGTGTGTTTCCGTTACCAAAAGTGGAGTAACAAAGTTTTCATGTGACAGTGACATTAGAGGTAGGTCTGCTCACCTTGCAGATACATCTCTTCTCCTTCTGTGAACATCTGATTGCACCTGCTGCATCTCGCACAGCTAGGGTGGTAATGCTTATCTCCTGCCTGGAAAACACAGGGCGCACAAAACAGACTTGACATCGCGGAAAAATGAAGATAAATGAAGTCTGGAGTAAAGTGAGTGAAGCGGAACAGTGACTTCCAGGAAATAAACCCAGTGCTCTACTTGCTCTCAGCTACGTTTCTTTCCTCTAACACCCAAACCCTGTTAGTGCAAGGGATAGTTTCATCAGATCCTGTGTACTGGTAATCGCTCTCCCTTCCTTCCTTCAAGAACAACTGTTGATGAAATTGTTAGAAAAAATGATCCCCTGAATCTAGTCTGCAGGTATCCTGTGAATAAAGTATTTCTCAATAGTACATTTGGGAATGTGAAATAATGTATGTACGTATTCATGTATTTGAGACATATTCATTTTCAGTAAGAACATAGAAAAGATTGTTTTGTTCATATTGTACATGACCACCATGACATCTGCGTGTTTGACTCAGTCCACCCGCCTTCAGATATCTGAATGTTCCTCTTTTGCGATAACCCACACAACGCAATCCAATAAAATGATCTGACGGCTAGAGCACCTGAATTTCCATGTACACTGATGTGGCACTTTGCATGCAGAGTGCACCCTTATAAAGCCTATGTGACTTTGACCAGGGATGATAAAAACCAAAATCAAATTCTGCCTGCTTTATAACAACCCTCAGTAACATTTCAGCTGACAAGTGGCCACTCAGAAATATGGAGCCAGTGACAAATTATTTGCATTTTACTATATAAAAAAAAGTCTACAGAATGACTATAGCAGATATTTCATAGCGCCTCCTACCCAATACTCTCCTCACGTACACTGTAAAACTTACTCAAGGATAATAAAGGTACTTGTGGTATGTGTGTCGTATGCTCTTAAAAACTCTCCCTATTTTTCTCTGCTTTTAATAGCTGCATTAATTACACCTGCTTTAATAAGCCATTCACAGACAGACGATATGCAAATTTAACGATGGCTACATGGTATTTGACCTGATCTTAGGTCAGTGATTAGACTATCAGACAGACTGCTGTGGCTTTGGTCCCACTGATCCACTGGCAGCAGCTCAGGGGTGAGATGCAGAGGCCTTTTCCTATAGTCATAAAGGCCTGCCTTAGCGCTGGATTACTGTAAGCCTGGCTGGCTGGCTAGCAGTGACATTTTCATACCATCACATGACACATAACTCAGTGTGTGATTGGATCACCGTCTGCAGAATAGACAAGCCAGCCCTTGTTCAAGAGACCAGTGAACACAGAGAGCGTCAAGGACAGTGGTGATAATATTTTACATAAACTCAGCTCAGACAATGTTAATAACGCTCAAACAACAGTTTCATAACAGCTGCATGACATCCAGTACTAATGAATAATGACCACTTCTTAAATGTCAGATCACATTAGGTGTTTTATGTAATATTTATATAATTTGCTGCAAAGCAAACTTGTATGAGCGTGGGCAAGCATGTGTATTTAGGCAGAGTTGGAAAGACCTAAAACTCTGCTAAGACTTAATCTTTTAGTTGAATAAAGTCATGTCAAGAGTCTATTTGGCCCTGTGATGAGGAGATTACACCGGAGATTATCAAACTACATTTCACAATTCCACTCCAGTGCAACATCCTCTGTCTGTAGGGAAAGCAGAATGTAGATGTTGCCAGCAACTCTCAAAATTTATTATTTCTATGTAAATCTACATAATGAATACATCCATTTGAATCTTTAGGTATACTTTCCAAATGTATCTTCTGTGATTGTAGTTCTTAAATAATCCTTAAGGACCCAAATTCAAATGAAAGTATTTGTTCCCTGTGAATAAAACTTACCTTCGGCAGGATTCATATGAAATCCAACTGCAATATTAATTGTCTGTTTACAGGAGCATATTATAAATTCCACATCAGATAGCTCAGTACCTCTGTGCAGGCGCACAGAAAGACATCTGCCTGTACAAAGGATCCAATCAGAGGGAGGCAGCTGAAGAATGTGGTGTGCGTGGGTCTGTGTCTTACCTCTAGCACCTTCCCTGTGATGAACTGATGACATGCCTCACACTGAACTCCAAAATGGATCTGGTAGTCCTTCTCACAGTAGGGGGCGCCATCCCTGAGAGGAGAGAGTCAGGTCTAAATACCAGGGAGTTGACAGTGAAATATCATATTGTGTGTGAACCTCATGCAGGCCTGAATTGGACCCAAGTAGCCTGTAATTACAGTGGATATAAGCTGCTTACTTGCTGATGTACTCCCCGGTCAGCACTTTGCTGCAAGCCTTACACTTAAAGCAGCCCAGATGCCACTGTCTGTCCAGTGCTAGAAGAGCCTGTCCGTTCTTAATGTCTCGACCACATCCTGCACAATCTGTGAAAACAAAAGTGGCATGGCTTAAAAACGTAAGTGTTCTCATGGCAAAAACTACAAGAAAATACAAAAAGAGGGCAAGGAAATACTTGTATAGTGAAATGCTCGCTTCAATGTTTGTTTCGTGTAAAAACACAGCTTTTAATGGGCTCAAAATATTAATCGAGGGGTTAAATAATTGCATGAAACGAGTGAGACGTCTTGTCAGTTATGACCCAAGACACTAGATGGTGATAGAGGGTAACCAGCAATGTTCTGACAGCTGCCTCTTTCTATCATCCACAACTGTCTTACCATGGCTCTAAAAGCTCCATCCATATCCAAGTAGGATCCTGAGGCTCTAAAAGTGTAAGAGGTTGCTTTCTAAAAGAACAATCATCTTGTCATCTCTTCTTTAATGAACAGAGGATGAAAGCAACACAGAGCCCACTGCAACCACAGGGGACGATAACTACGTAAGGCATAACGAGGTTGCGATGATGATGTGAGAAGAATCAGCATGCCTTATTTATAGGTGACCTTGTCTAAAAGCTCTTCAAACGGCAACAGAGAGACCAGTGGGGGAGAGAAAGAGAGACAGAGAGGGAGAGAGAGAGACAGAGAACAGGAAGAAGAAGGGAGGAAAGAGAAAGAGGGATGATGAGAGGAGTTGGAAGAGGAGGAGTTTGAGGGCTGCACGTTCTCTGTTCCAGAGGAAAGGAAATGCATAGCCATGCATTATTTAGCAAGGCCTGTCTTGGTGTTATTCATAAAGCAACATGGCTGGTCGAACACGAGGCTGTTTCATGAGGAAAAAGAGGTGGAGGAACTCCCTGAATGATAGCACTACACGATTCAGTATTAAAGCATAACTGGGTTGCAGAAGAGCTCCTTACAAAGTACCTTCTGCTATACGTGGAACTGTTGTGTAGTACCAGCTACAATCTGTTTTACACACTTACTTAACTCTTTAACATTTTCTCTCTCTCCCTTTAAGAAATAGTTGACATGACATTTTGAGAAAAAGCTTTACTCGCTATTTTGCTGACACTGTCATATCTGTCCGTTCAATATGACACTAAAGCCAGCAGTCACTTAGCTTAGTTTAGGTCAGCAGCTGATGGAAACAGCAAGCCTGGTTCATTTTCCTAACTCTGTTTGTTTAATCCGTACAGAAACCGAAGTCTAAAAACGAGAAGTTGTTGGTTTTATAAGCTAAGCTAACAACTGCTGCCATGAAATTCATAGACATGAAAGTGGTAGTGATCTTGTCAGCTAACTCTCAGAAAGTGTATTCTCCAAAAATGTCAAGCTATTCCTTTAAGTAGCTGAAATGAACAAACCCAAGACCCCATGCTGTTTTAACTGTACCACTTAACAAAGTGGAAATATTCTAGATATATTGTGCGTCATTTTATGCACATTTCTCCAAAATTAAGCCTGATATTTTTGGTTTGGAAAACCTTTGGATCTCCACTTCAAAGTAAAGTGTTATTGGTTTGAACAGCGTTTGGTTGCTCAGAATGGGCTGACTCACCAACAGGCTGCTGCTTATGAAGGGGTTAATGTTTAAATTTAATAAAAGTTTTAAAGTCTTGAATGGATTTGAACATTCTGGTGGTCAATTAAATTTATGCTAATCTATGTGGGAAAGATGTTGTTGACCTGAAAATTATTCTCCACAGCACAATAATCACAGGTAAAATGACAACAGCTACATTAAATGTCATGCATGAATCATACCTGAAAGCTGTTTTTGCCAGACTTTTTGTTTTTCTAAAAGTTTTATAATTCCTTCAAGTAATCCACTTTCACTTTGAATCCTACTGCAAACTTCCCAATTCTGTGTGGAAGCCAAAATAGCATCACGTGCAAGCGAATGCCTTCCTGTGCATTAAACCTGTGTGCATGTGTTTAATAGACAATGGCTACTTACTGCTGGAGCCCAGTATGTCCTTTGGTCCTGGAGACATGGGCTCGACACAGTACTGACACAGACAGTCCTTCCCGTTAAAGGTCACCCTGTCCCCGGCAGGGAACGGTCGTCTGGAAGCAGGGTGACATCAACATTCGGTCAACAAGACATGAGCTGTGGCCCTGCGCTAAGTGTAAGAGTTTATTAGCTTGCAGGTTGCTTGACTGGGCTTAAGATGACAGGACCCGATGATGTGGATGTGTGTCAACAACGACATTTAGAAAGATGGCGCAGACGTGAGGTACAGCATAGTACTGAATGGAGTCTACTGGAATTCCCGCCAACTTGGACTTCAACTTTGTTTGTCCATCACTTCACATGATTCTAAGCAGAATTTCCTTTTTACTGTATTGGGAAGCTGTACAAAAATGGGAGGAAGTAAGATCTAGGTAACTCTACAGAGTAGCTTTTGTGTAGATCAGAATCAATAGATATATTGGAAATCAATAAGCAAATTCAGATCAAAGTCAGCCAGGGATATGTTTTAAGCACAAATTTAATCAGGAAGGACTGATATACTTTCCAATTAAATTATTATTGACCTCTGGCACTTTCCAAAACCTTATTATTGGTTATGTCCCTGTTTTCTACCTTTTAAGGCCTTTGTTTTGTTCTGTGTTGGTCAGACTTGTATAGATGTGTGCAAAGATGATTCCAAACCTACAGATGAATACCTGTACATTTTGCAATGCAGTTATAGTATTTCTACAATTCACGAGAGTTCACTCTCTCTGGGTTTCTATGGGTTTTTATCAGCGAACGTTAAATGAGTCGGTATCTCTTACTTGCAGATGGTGCAGACGAAGCAGGCAGGATGGTAGGTCTTGCCCAGGGCAGTGACCACTTCCCCCTCCACAAAGTCCCCACAGCCATTGCAGCGGGTGCCGTGCATGCGTTGGTAGTCCAGCGTGCACAAATACTCTCCATTCTTCATGAAGAAGCCCCCTTGGGCGAGGTCACAGCCGCATACTATACGGGACACACACATTGGCACTCTGCAAGTCAGTTCATTTTGTGCTCTGCCCATATAACACATAAAGCATCCGACCATCAAGCTGCCCAGCTCCTCCACGCACCAATGGCTTTGTTAAGACTTGCTAGTCTGTGTAATCCTGAGAGGCTCGCTGACTGCATGAAATGGATGCTGACTAAAAAAATCTGTGGAAAATAGATTTTAACAGCTCTGTGCTTTACAATGTGAGGGATAACTTAAGATCCTTTCACCAGCAGTGTTCACAGTCACAAAAAAAACCCTGAATCTTCTCCCTTTGGAGGAATTCTGCATTGAGGGCATGTGTCAATGAATCAACACTACTAATGCAAGGTCCTGTCATTGTCAGTGTGGAGGTAGTCTGTTCAGTGCAACAACAATTCTACAATTGTCTAGCCCAGGAAATGGCCTTAAACTGTTTCTGAAGATAACTGTCTCTATATTATTATATATATAATATTCAATACTACACAGTCAACAACAAGCTTCCTTCCATTCAAATATAACCTTGTCATCTACACAAACATGAAAGACTAGGAAGAAATACTACTTAGGTAACAAATTTAGAGTTTGGACAAATTTAATCTTGGACCTAATAATAGTGCTATTTAGAAAGCTACAGGATACATAGCGTTATTATAGTCCATCCTAAGGGGGGCCTTAATGTCTGTACCTAATTTCATGACTACTCATCCAATAGTTTCATGACAATCCCTCCACTACTAAAAGTCGAGACATTTCACTCAAAAACACAAACATCAACCTCATGGTGGTGCTCGGGAAAAAGTCGGAGGATCAAAGTCATTAGGATTCATCTTCTAGGAAACATAAGTGTCTGTTATAAAAATGCCATGTCAATCCGATATTACCCCTGATTGATTTGGGGTGAAGTCATGTAGTGGCTGATTAAAAAATGAATGGCTTAAAATAAACATTGCCGTGCGACATTTATTCTCATATTAAACAATTAATTAACTTATATTCCATAAACCTCACCTTAACCTAAACCCTTCAAAAAATGTAATTTCAGGGACATCAGTCATTGCACTAGCAAAAACGCAGAAAACATTAGTAATAGTCTTCACTTTTTCACACACACATTTTTTCCCATGTATCAAAATAACTGCATATGCTGTGTAAACTCCACATCTGGTTTGTTCGATTCAGATGTGAGGCGTGTCTGTATGTACAGTATTCCAACCATATAATGAACACATGAGCCATGTAGTCCACCACTGCAGCACCACAGAGTATGCCTGGGCATGTAATAGCCTTTTGGAAATGCCACAGCTAAGAGGGAAAATATTTTGATGTTTGAGATGGCCGCACCTAATCATTCTTATGCAATGAGCCACGATAAATCCCAGGGATGAATGGGAGAGAATCACATTTAATTGCATTAGGGCTCAGGGGTGATACGATTAGCCTGTAAGCTGAGACGAGAGAAACCCAGCAGTGGAGATTTGGTAGCCTTTGACTGTGATGTCCAACCACCTCAGCTTTTCAACAGATGCATACCACTACATAAAATGCCTTAAAATTCACTTCCATTTCAATTTCATAAATTGACCCTCCTAAGTTTCAATTAGTAGGGTCAATTTATGAAATTGAAATGGAAGTGAATTCAGGGAAACTGAAAGGTTTTGCTTTTGTGTTTTTGTTGAATGAGATAAAAGCAAGCAAAAAACAGCTGTTTTGGATTTGTCTGCCAAGGGATAGTATCTCTTAATAACCGCTGAGTGTCAGTAAGCTCAGTCAACCTGGCTTGACCACAAGTTACAATTATCGTTGTTTAACCAGAAACAGTTGCGATATAGCTCTTGTCAAAACTACCAGACTCCCTTGACAAAAACAGTAATTTTACCGCTCTGGTTTACCACTGCCTTGATTGGTTAGTTTCTGTAATCGTGCGACTTTGGTGTTTTTAACCCTTTAAATCACCAAAGTCACACAATAACACAAACAAACAAAAACAACATAGTCACACAATAACTCAAATAAACAGACCGAGACAACGGTAGGCCAGCAACTCCTGTGTTCTGTGAGGTAGAATCATAGAGTCTGGTGGCTTTGACGCTTTAAAGCTGTCCTTGTGTCAACTGCTAACACACAAACAAACACAGAAAGGCATGGATATCCACTTGTAAAGGACAGAATTAGGTACTAATCTCAGAGTTCGCTTATGTTATTCCGGGCCCTTGGTGAACTAAGCTATGTCTGTAACGGTGCTCCAGTCATAGATTAACTACAAGGGCTTCAGCAGGACAGGTTCAGCCTACAAGACTGAGACTGCTTGGTCGGCTGTAAGCGGCTGCACCGTAATCATGCCAGAATGCCAGAAATCCATCAGTAATAAGGCTAAACGCAGGAGGATTTGCACTGTCACTTGTCCTAACAGTCTGGATGGTACTTGAATTGAAGTATGTAGGTCTGAGAAGTGAAGATGAGTCATACCACCATGTATACCCCTCATTAGAGAAGGATGGAAAGGACGTTGTGGCCTTATTACTGGGACTTATTCTGTTCCTATCCAACTTTGTGTGATTGGGATGCCTTTAGGGACAGCCAAGGAAAAAGTACAATTTGTCTTTTTACCTAAAGTGCCATGAGACATACCTGTGAAATATCATACTATATCACATGGGAGAATCATCTATTAAAAACAACAACTGTAGTCAGCATGGACAGCATGTAGCTACTGAATGAAAGGAAGCAAATGTCCTACTATTGTGACAGAATCAAATGAGCTATGAATTTTAAAATTTCACACCTTAGCTGCCAGTTTTCACACAACTCCCACATTCTTCTTCTCCTATTCAGAAACAAATACTCATCTAAGCTGTCTGAGGGCTCATTTTTAAATTGTAAACAAATAACTTGTTTACCAAAGGCTGGTCTTTTTGATCATAGAGTTGTCTCACTCAAAGGCTGAGCCAAATCACAATCAGTAAACACTAGTAAAACCCATTCAACCATTTGCAAATAAGTGTCTTTATTTAATATCTCGAAAAGTTGATTGTTTCATGATTATTTTCATTTATCAGCTGTGTGTTTCTGTACCTTTACAGGTGAAGCACTTGAGGTGGAAGTGCTTGTTCTGCACCCGCAGCACCTCGCCCTTACATGGCTCCCCACACTTGTAGCACTGAATCAGGGGCTTCTCTGTGGAGTGGTGGTGTGTGTTCTGCGCATGAGCCACTGCAAGAGAGGAGACATTAGCATTACCATTGAGCTGTGATGTTGATGAGTCATCGTGGTCGATGGAGTTGGCAGTCGGTGCAGTTTCTGTATGTTTCTTTTGTTGTTGTTGTTGTTGTTGTTGTGTTCATCTGAGGACACGCTCTGCACAAGCACCAGAGACAAAGACTAGCTGCCGAGAGCCTGTCAGTGCAAAAAAAACAACATTGAGCAGGTCAGCACAACTTGGGGTTCATGGCCCAGATAGGATCCCTAGAGAGTAACAACCTAAATATAGTCTGTCTTGATCAGTGGAGGATGGACAGTCGAAATGCTGAGGGGAACAGGGCTTGTAAAATGGCACACTAAAAGATATTGATCACATCTGTTTGGCAATTGAGTTTACTGTACTTTCATCTTCAAAGGAAAATATCAAGGGCCGTTTGCTGTCTAAGCCTAGCTTATGTTCCCAGTAAAGTTCTTGCAATGCATGCTATATATAGTTTCTTTTTGTCATGTTTAAAAGGTAAGTTTTAGTGTTTTTTAGCTTGAGATTACCTTTTGTCACATGCTAACAAAGACAACATGGAAGTGACAAATATGCTTTAAAGCTACAGATTTTGGGGGGCCTGTGAAGACTTCCATTCTTCCCTGTGGAAGTCAAGTGTTTGACAGTAAGCGGAGTCTGGCAACAAAAAACAGCCAAACAGGCTTGATGTTTGCTGTGATGGAATATCTCATTCTGTGCAAGTTGCAAGTGAGTGCATGGAAAAATAGCAGTCATCAAATATCTTCTTCTATTTCACTGCCTGTGTGCAGATAGAAGGAAAACAAGAATAAGTTCAAATTAAGGATGTGAGGTAGAAGAGCAACTTTGTCAGTCACAGCTACGCTAGCAGGTTTGTGAGGCTGTTCTTAGGCACGCACAGCTGTGCATGGATGTAAAGGCTAACATCAGCATGTTAATATGCTCACAAAGACAATGTTCACATTTGGTTGTTTAGCAGGTGTAATGTTTACGATCTTAGCAATCTTAGTTTAGTGTGTTATCATGTAATGTTAAAAAAAAAAGTACCATTAAACACAAAGTACAAGTCTGAATGACAAAATAAACAAAAAGAGAAATTAAAATTTTGATGTGATGATTACACTTTATGAAATGTAAAGGGATCACCAAGTGGTTACAGTTTATCCTGAGGGGAGTATCTGTACCAAATTTCATGGCAGTTCATCCAATAGTTGTTAAGATATTTTGGTCTGAACAACAATGCTAACCTTAAAGCCACGCTAGTGCAGCTAACGTAACTAAAAATGGCACTGAAATAATTAAACAAATAATAAAACAGACAAAGGAGTATATTAATAATCTCTTGTTAAAGTAAAATCTGTCTGGCACAATATGGTATCCAGCTCATCATACTCTATACCAAGCTGCTGGGCAGGACAGGTTTAAAAAAAAAAAAAATAAGTAAGGTACTGAAATAGCCTAACTTTGATGGCAAAATTGTAAAATTACTCAGGTTACACTAGCGTGCAGATCTTAATCTGGATGAAGATTTAGACATCACTTTCTTAATGTGATGTTTTGTGACAGACAGCTACCATAATTATACAACAGAGAAGCTATTATCAGCTTGCTTTATCTCTACAAGCAGTATCCAGTGTTTTCTTTAGATTCATGATATGCCAGTCTGTGGCCCTCCTCAGTAAAAAGTCTGGACATGTGCAGACATTAATCCAGCACTACTGTACTGTAAGTACTGCTGCAGTGCCGCACTGCACACAGTTTATCAGCTATTCTGAAACCAGCAGATTATTTCACATTCAGGAGCATTTACTTGCAAGGCAGCCTCTTTCTTTCATCCTCTCATTTCCTCTCTCTTTTTCAAACAAAGATGTACACACATACACACACACACACTAAGAATACACATGAAAGGATCTTTGCTCTTTCTGCTCTGCAGTGAATCATTAGTCTGCAAGGCTAAAATAAGACACCACCAAAGGCACTGAAATAGCATCATGACCAATCGATGGTCTACCAAAGAGAGACTTTACTCTGGATTATTGATGACTTGGCGTACCTTGCATCCCACTTCTACAGTATTGAGCGATGGTTTAATTGCAGTAAAGTCAAATCCGCATGAGAGACCAGTCTTCAGCACATCATTTTCTTAACGAGACACTTCTGCAGGCTTTGATTCATCTTCTAGTCTAAAATGCCCAATACGTATGGATACAATTCACAGAGCATCAGTCTATTCTTAATTTTTATTGAAAGGGAACTGAGAGAACATGTGAGTTGTGGGCAGTGGAAGAACAATGCGGGAGAAGAGGGATTGTAGGGTGGAGGATCTGTCTCTGTGGTGTCTCTGAAGTGATTACACACACAGCAGGACAATGAGTCATCTCTGGGTGAACCACACTACTGTGACAGTGAACTGAGTCTCAGCAACTCTGTGTGTGACATCGCACCTCCATAGAAGAACACAGGCCATCTGGGTAGCTACACTCAACAAAAATATCCAATGTAACAAGTCATTTTAAACCTCATGCACAATATTTATCCGGGATAGACTTTAAAGGAAAAAATCAAGTTTATCACAACTTGGTTCAAAAAAATGTTTTGGCCGTTATAATAACACTGTACTCATTAAAGTAATTTCTAAGATCTGGAAACAGACATCACTACAACAAAGTCCGACAGGGCAACACACATGAGCAGTCAGAAGATCAGATGTTTATCACTGACCACTCTATTTGGAGGTAAAACCAAAAGTGAGCACAAACAAAATGCTGATAATTACCTGTTAAATTGTGTGTAGCCATGACTACAGTGAGCACCGAAGGTCAAAGATGAACCAGGTATTTGGCCGGTAAATTGCGATGGACATTTATAATGGACAGTTTAGGTCGTTATTTTACCATTCCCCTTTGCCTTCTCTTTCAAATAAGTTTGGCTAAACTGAGAGTTTGTTTTCAACCTGCCCGAGAGTCTGACTGCTCATGTTTCTTGCCCCGTCTGTCAGGCATGCCGCCACATTCTCAGATCCCTGCAGTTAATTTGGTGAGTACAATGTTATTATATGAATGATGGAAAAAACTACAAAAAAATGTATGTCCTTCAAAACTGAGGAGAGAGACTTGTTTCCAGCATAGCTTCAAATTCAGAAACGTTAACACTTTTGAAATAAGACTAGATTTGGAGTCTTATTTCAGGCAACCTGTCTAACTCTCCTTTCAGCTCTTGTTTGGTCTCCACCATCTCCTGAGGTGAGTATCTGGCACTTTAGCTGCTAAATGCTCAACTATTTTCACCTACTATTAGCTAATTTTGTCTGTCATTTGATGCTTGCTAGGTTGGTAAAGAGGATTTTTAGAGCTTTTTTGCTAAAAACTGCTACGATGAGAATGAAATCAGTAAACCAATGTATTAAAGATGTGACACTAAAAAGCTCCATAGAGCTGAGGGGATCTGCAGACATGGTTATTTGTTCCTTTTTCTCTCCTTTCACAACACACATTCATTTTATCCAATGTTAATCTAAAAATATTGATTTGAGCAGCTTTAAAGTATGTACAATATATATATTTCAGTGGTTTGATGCCAACAGTCTCTCTCTGAGTTTATTTTGTCGACTTACTATTTTTAACATCATAGAGAGTCGTCAGCAGGGACAGAGCAGCATGGAAAAGTCAACACTGCTAACGTCATAACAAGTTGACAAAAATCCAAGACAGATGTTTGAAACCCATGCACAGAGCGTCTAAAAAATGAGGTTTGGATGGGAATCTATGAGCGCTTTGTTTTTCCTGCTTAACCCGCCTCTTTCACTGTAAAGTGCTGTATGTTTGCCTCAGTGGCTGCGTAGAGGGAGACTGTGGCAAAATCAAGCTGAGATGGGTACTCAACATGATGTTTCATAAAAATTAAGGAAGCCAACATAAAAAGGGCTGTAAAGTTTTCTGAAAGGATTCAAATCGAATCATTTATAGGATTTGTCTGGACATTAGGGAGAACTCTTTCAAATGTTTAGCAAGCCTCCCCACTTAGGACTCTATGTCTACAAAAGCATGACTTCAAGAAATTCAATAACATGGGATTTGAAATAAATCCATTACAGAGTTTTTAGGGTTTTTTGTCAAAGCAGCAAAATGGCTCCAGATTTGCTAGAATGTATATTATATAATGCTATAAATAAGTAAGAGCGCAGTACATGAAGCAACCTCAGCACCGAGAAACTCACTGTGAAATATACAGTAGTACAATTTTTCCGACTGCCGCTCACATTCCTCATTCTAGGCTGGATGTGTTGGCTGTGCTGACAGAGTGATCTGTCGTGCCTCATCACCAGGGGATAAAGTGACTGATATGAGCCTAAACACACAATGAACACACACACACACACACACACACACAACCATGGTGCTGAGGGAACAATAACCAGCAGAGCATCCCAAAGCCAGGCACAGAGGAAAGGGGGCTGTTCTCTCCACCTCTATGTCCCACCCACCCCCCTCCCATTTAAGTAGAGCCTAGCTGCGTTGGCAATAATAAAGGCTGCAGATGATACTCTGGAGGGAAGTGAAGAAGGCCATCTTGAATCCCCTGAGGACAGATTTCTCCATAGCACGTGCGCCAGCCATGCTGGTAAATAACAATACGGTGGGGTTATTGACAGAGAGTGCGGGATTTGCTCAGGAAGCTTCAGACATTGTTGCCTTCATTTCCTACCATAAACCCATAGGAATGTAAAGCCATAGTAGCGGTTTGGAAATGCACTGGGAAAGGGGGAATATAATTAAACAATAGATGAAAAGATCTAATAAAATATTCAGGAGCTAACTGCCTTTGTTACAGTAAGAGTCACAGACAGAAGAGTTTCCAGTACAGACAGCATCCCCAAAGGAGTGTGTGTGTGTGTGAGAGTGTGTGTGTGTGTGTGTGTGTCTGTACAGTATGCGTGCACGTGCCTTATTGTGTATGAGTGTATGTGTGTGACAAAGAGAGACAGAGGGAC